AAGTTGCCCGAAAGATACGCCATGTAGACTGCCTCATGCTCTCCGCCTACAACGCCAGGACAGTCTCCGCATACGTCCACCTCCACGCTCTTCTCGACGCTGCAGAGCACATCAAGTATCACACCATCGCTCTGCACGGAACGAAGTCTCCAGGAGGAACGTGCGATAGATGAGTGGTAGAGCCCCCATCATTCGTGGTAAGAAAGTTTCACCACGAAACGTTGGAGGCGGTGGCTTTGACTTCGACCTATCTATCGTCAATCTTGTCGATTTGCATGAAATCCTGTCATCTCGACCAGCCATTTTACGACTACGACCTTCACGTCAGAAGACCATCCGCATCATCAGTTGCTATTCGTCAACATCAGCAGCTGACAGTTAGGAACTTGAGGATTTCTTCGAAGACGTGGAGGAAGTCGTCCGCAACGAGAAGTCCTTCTACAATTTTGTTGTGGGCGAATCTTACGCGAGAACCAGGACGCTACTAGAAGACGATATAGGATTTAGACGTGGGCTCTGGAACGAAACGGCGACCGTCCCGCTGACATTATCTCCGCCGCGCGACTTTTCCAGGAAAATTCCATTTTCGTGCAGAAAGAACAACGCCAGTGAACACGGAAATCGCCCAACCGGAACGCCTCACGCGAAAGATCAATCACATTCTCAATCGAAGGAGAGCATGCTCGATATCTCAGTAGGTTCATTCTTCTATAGTGGGGCTCCGATGACCGCCGTTCCTGCGAAGGCACGATTCAGCAGGAAGGGAGAAAAGAAGGTTTGCCTGTCGCAAGAAAAGCCCATATCAAGTTGTGACTGGCCCATCAAGGAGGATCTAACGTAGACTACGATTGGCTTATGCAGGATTGCGAGCCTGCGAAAAGTGCGCCTTAGTGACCTCTGAGAAGAACTTTGAAGGCATTTCGATAAACACCAAGGAACTTGAAATAAGAAGATCTTTGAGGCAAAATTGAATGCAACCCATCTTAAGGAACTGATAACCAAGCCAGCTGCAGAACGGCTCTGCAGGAGAAGATAGTGGAAGCAGTCAAAGAAGAACGAAGTATTAAGAAGTGCCAAAGGAACTCTGTGAATATCAGTTACCGCTGGCTGCACTACTGAACATGACGGGGCTTCTTCCCAATGTCAAATGGAATCTATTACGAAGAACTTCTACACCGACCGCTCATCAACACCCGTGCCGATGCCGTTGTTCCCACTAAAGATGTACCATCAAAATTGTACTCGCTGAAGACGTACCGCCAATTCAGACCATGAAGACGTCCACGGCTATAGGACCAAATCATCCTTCCACGAACCTCTGGGCCAAAGGACATTGTCTACACGCAGTGGCGTAACGAGCCCCCTCCCCCCCCCCCCCCGGGGATGGGTTGGAAGTTACTTATATCAGTTGTAAAAATGTGCAAGCGACTTGCTTATACGTGTGAATAAAGATAATTTAAAAAAAAATTTAAAAATTAGCCTTATAAGAACTTTTTTTCGGGGCATGGCTGCAGCCACGCCCCCTTTTCTGAAATTTCGGGGTTACGGACCCGCAAATATTTCAGGCATACCAAAAACTTTTTCGGAATGCGCGGCAGGCGCCACGCCCTTATTAGAAAAAAAATTTTGTCGCCCTCCCGAATGGAAAACCTGGGTACGCCACTGTCTAGGGAGTTCTAGTGTAGTATTTAACGCCCCACCTTTGAATGGAAAGAGTTTCCGACCAGTAAAGAGCTTTGAGAAACGTCCTTTTCTCCAAAAGGGGCGAACAAGAAGATCTTGGGAATTACCGTCCAATATGCCTGCTGAGTATGCTTTACAAGCTTTTCACATAGATATTCTCGAAGAAGTCTGCCGGGAGTGCCGACTGTCCTAACCTTCGTCGATTACGAGAAAGCCTTTGACAGCGTCGAAACTAATGCCACTGTCACCACTACTAGTCGATCAAGGAGCGGACCAGCTTACACTAGATAAATAGCCGACTGTTAAAGTAAATGTACAGCAACGATGCAGCTATTCCATCGTCTCCTGACCATCCCAAAAACGGGGTTTGACAAGGCGAAACTATTTCGCCGAAGCTGTTTATCGCGGCCTTGAACTGAGTGTTGAAGTCACTGGATTGGGACGAGAAAAGCATTGATGGAAGATGTTTATCGAACCTTAGTTTTACGGATGATATCGTTCTCTTTTCAAGCAGTGTCACTGACGGAGACGATGCTGAAGGAACTAAACGAAGTATGGAAGAAGACTGGAGTGCGAATAAATCGGATGAAGACTCCATTCATAGGAAAGCCCTCTGTGAAGATGCGGAAAATGAAGTGGAAGAGGAAAAAAGAGGCAGATGACAGCCGGATACTAAGAGAGTGGATTCTAGCAAACAGCAAAGCCATCTCGATGAAGATTAAAACGAGATGGGAAATGTGTTCCTGGAATGGATGGAAAAGCTGAGAAATCAGCTGGATACGACTACCGCATCTGGAACTCGTCGAAGCAGTCACCGACAACAATTAAGATCGTGGTCTGAAGCGAGAGACAGAAACAACTGAAAACTTTGGTGCTGGGGCCCACACGCCACGTTAAGACGGGCCATCTGAGGCCCGTATGCACGTACATCCCCGCTGGGGAGGGGAGGGGATCTGAGAGGGTATGCGTCATATCTCGCTACTCTACGTGACTTCTTCTTCTTTCTCTATCTTGCTTACGAAGGTTCTCATACCCTAATTCCTGCGCATAATCGATGCGGTTACTTCCCGAGATTGGTTTTTTGCCATTTTGTGTGATCCCCAGGGGATCCCCGGGCGATCCCCAGGGAAACACCTCTCATTTTCAAAGTGATATATCTTCTTGGGAAGTCAACAAAAATGCCGCAAAATTGTACTGCGGATATACTACGGCACTGCTAAGCATGTCTACGACGAGAAAAGTGTTTTTCAATGATCTCTAGCTTGCGATCTAGGGATTACTGAAGATTTTGATATCCTGCGATTTCACTTTTTTCCACTATAAACATCTTTAGCACTGCGGTAGTATATCCAAGTACAATAGCGTTTTCATTGAGTCTTCAAAAAGATAAACGGCGTTGAAAATGAGAGGTCATACTCAGGGGATCCCCGGGGGACCCCCAGGGGATCACACAAAATAGTGAAAATCTAATCAATTATGCCAGTAACCTGGCATCAATTATGCGTAGGTACTAGAGTATGAGGACCTTCATAAGCAAGATAGAGAAGGAAGAAGAAAGATACCTAGAGTGTTGGGATATGACGCATCCCCTCCTCAGGTCCCCTCCCCTCCCCACGGGGATGTAGGGCATACGGGTTTAAGGGCCGCATGCACTATCCTCCCCGCTGGGGAGGGGATCGCAGCTCAAAAGAAAGCTTTATATTTCGAAACTCCAGATACCTGGATTTCACGTTGTGTACCTATCCGTAAGTATTCCTACTACCCCTCACTATGAACATGTTGAAGAGGAGCGAGAAGCTGTACAAACCGCATTTTCCAAGTTTTGCATGATCCCTGATGATCCCCGGCGCTTTTCTTTGAAGTCATTTTTCTTTCTCCGAAGTTAACGCAAAACTTCCAAAGTTGTGCAGGTTATCTAACCCAACAGTGCTAAGCATGTTGCTGATAAGAACAAATGATGTTTTGAAGTCATGAAACTTTATGATCCACAGGTCGAAATTTGGGGTATACCAAAAAATTCAGTTTTCCAAAAATTCATTTGTTCTCATCAGCAACATGCTTAGCACTGTTGTGTTAGATGTTCAGTATAACTTTGGAAGTCTGACTGCATAGTCACTTATGACTTCGGCTTTCCAGGCTCCGAAGAAGGCGTTGAACGCCGAAACGTCGACGTCAGCCAATAAAAGTATTGTTACCAATCTTGGTGTAGCTCGAAAGCAACGTCTACAAGAGATTATCATGCCAAGATTCAAGGACAACCGAACAATGGTGATAACTTTGGAAGGTTTTCGTTAACTTCGGAAAATGAAAAAAGACTTTGAAGAATAGATGTTCGTCCCCCAGGGATCATCACGGGATCCTACAAAAAGCTGGGAAATGCGGCTTGTACAGCTTCTCGCTTCTACTCAATATGTTCATAGTGAAGGATGGTGGGAGCGCTTACGGACAGGTAGACATCGTGAAATCCAGATATCCGGAGCTTCAGGATATGAAGCTTTCTTCTGAAGCTGCGATCCCCTCCCCAGCGGAAATGTTAGTGCATGCGGCCCTAAGTAAGTAAGCCCTCATTAGACTTTGAATGAAGCAACTAGTTAAAACAACGTAGGTACGAATCTTTGAAAAGAAGCACGAAATAGAGGACTAGATCAGTTAAAGGCACCGTCCACCGTAAATTGGGGGTTTGTAGCTTTTGACAGCATATGATAGTAGGGCTCCCTATCAAGCCAATGCCCAAGTGCAGCGCAAAATGTCGCTTCGGAAACGAGAAAATTGCTCCGCAATAAGAAAGTGCATGAGGACCCCCAACCATGCCCGTTCCTCCCCATCCATGCCCGCCCATTTGTGCGCGCCCATTTAATCACCGTTCCGGGAAGCCGGCCTGTGGGTTCTTCGAAACGGGGACTGTCGGGGTTTTCGCAGATTCTCGACTTCATATTCGGATTCAAGAACATGAGAAGGCCCTGAATCGACAAAAACGTGGAAGTCGAAAATCTGGGTGGACATTTTGTAATGAGCGCACTTTGAAACAGATTGTTACTCTGTGAGTTTTTCCAAATTCTTTTGTAAATCGGTAGCGAGATCTACAAAAGAATTTGTCTAGAAAGAGTAGGTACAAGCTTGTTTAGAGATGTGCGCACTCTTTCTCGAGCATCCTGATTTCAGAGAGGGTTTAGCCTGTAGGCGCATATATACATAAATGTATTCCGACAGGCTTGAAACGGTGCCCTCGTTGCGCTAGCACGAGGGCACTACCAAAAGGCGATGAGATGCCAAAGGATGGAGAAATCAACTTTCATTCCGTAACTGGTTACATTTAGTTGTTGAAATACAAATGCTCAACATGCAAAAGAAACGGAAGAAACGATGAAATGAGTGAACTATGTTCCCAAACGTGCGAAGAGGTCAAGCGCAGGCTGTTGGGGAAGGAAAAAGCAATCAAGGAGATTTTGACGACAACTGAAAAGGTATAAATTTTGGGAATGGTAAATGTTCAAAGCAAATAAGCGAAGGTAAAAGCTTTTTTTTCTATTCTTAGTATTTTAGGACTTTCAGCATCCATATGATACATGCAGATTCTTAGAAATTTGCGAACCGCGAAGAGCAAAACGCATATGAAAATGTTTCTGTTTGGAATTGTTATATTACAAGGTGGAAAGTAAATGTCTGAATTTTCTGAGAGATTGTCGTTGAAAACTGTAGAACTCGTACATTTTAAAAAGCCCCTTATCGAAGGGAGATTCAACGTGATAGACTAAAGGGTTTCTATTCGGAACTGTTTTAATTTGAGGTGAAAAATGAATTTTTCAAAATGATACCGTAAAAACCCGTACATTTTCACGGAGCGCCTTATCGAGAAGAAGCCCCACGTAACTGAAAAGGCTCTAGCACACTGACTCGGAAGTTCACAGCACTGGTAAGAATTCGTAAAAACAAGTAATAATATTTTCCTAAATTAGTGTGCTTGAACTGCTGGTTGAATTTGTGCGTGAGTAGTCTTGCCAGTGCTGCCGTTTTTGCGCGCGCAATTGGCCGGCACCACAGGCGCACCCTATTCAATTGGTTTGGCGGCTGAAAGGCGGGGCTTCATGACTCAATTAAGGCTAGAGAATGATCAAAGAGTAATTTCCCGAGAAAGACGCAGACGGTCGCCTTCCAGCCATCAGTTTCTTTGAATCAACAAGTAGCTATTTGTCCACGCGCAAATCTTACCGCATTTTACCTGCAGTGCAAGCACACTATGTTAAGCAAAAATCTATTCGACTTTTCGTAAAGCCTTGAATTTGTACCGACGTATAAGCTACTAACTCCAAAAAAAAATGAGCGGAAGAGCTCACAATTGCAATGGGCATCAAAGATAAGGTCCTTACGAATCTGAATGCCTGAGTTTCATAAGCGACTAATTTGGATCAGTCAAAATAGCTGTTGTTTAACGGCAGCTCATATGACTCATTCGCGGCCGAGAAATTCAAATCTAAACCTTCACCTGGTACCGTAATCGGAAATGCCGAAGGGAGATGGTGTAAACAAGGGTAAGAGCTGAATTTCTCTCTCAAGAATGAAGCATTAGAGTTGCTGCTTGGGGGTCTCCCAATCACTTTCACAGGAAAGTCCGGGTGCTGAAATTTCCTACCTGGTTATAACCGTAACGCTCTAATTGCCGTAGCATACCATAAACTGCTGTTAAGAAAGTGCTAAAAGTGCGCAAAGCAAATATTTTTTCGAAAAAAAGGGTTTTGGGAAATATGTTGCGCACTTTGAATGGCAGGTGTCGCACATGCGGAAAACGCGCTTTTTTCAAGAAGTTGCGTGGAATTTATCCATTGCATACAGTCCAGTAGATTCGATTGTTAAAATAATTGCCCTACTTTGTCGACATATTTGCACTTGAAAATGGTTATAGTTTCAAAACCTTGCAAATATCAGGTTGTTCCATATGTTTCGTCCGTTTTTTCAATCGCAGTAAGTCATACACTTCTTTTTTTCTAGATAGGCCTCATGTAACATTTGATAGAGCAAAACAAACTCTACGAGATGGCTCTCTGCACTTTGACACTTTGGTTTGACGCCAAAAACTAAAACGATTCGACTGCACAAAAAATAAAGAATAGATCGTATCTCTTTCCGGAACAATCCTGTGAAAATGCTAAATTGTTGGCGAAGAATGACATAATATAAACCGTTGCTGTATTTTTTCCTCGGTTAGAAACCAAAAAACGAAAATTTTTAACCTTTGGTCACTGATGCTGTGCTGTTACCACCTAAGTAATTGTATACTACAAACTTGCACAAGCATAAACTTAGCTTTTTACAAGCTCTAGTTTTTGAGAAATTTTGTAGGATAAAACTGATATATAAGATTGTCCTAAAAATTTACTGTCGTTTTCAAAGAATAATGAAACCGCGTACAATTAGGACGTAGATGAGTTAACAGGCATTCGATGCAGCTTTTTCTGCTTTTACGTTTACATCCCACTATCATCTAAAGTTTTATTGATAATCGCCACAATTTCAACCGTAATTTCTATCTGCTTCAGAGCTCGGCTAATTTTTGAAAATTTCATTCTGAAGTTTTCGAAAAAATCAAGCGTAAGTCAAATAGAGCAAATTTCGACAATACGGCAATGTTTTTAGATTGTTATGATCTCCCGATTTAGCCTTGAAGAATTATTTCATCGGAGACCTCGATTTTTGTGAAGCCATGAAACACGCAGCTTCAGCTGCCAAAATTTCAAATTCTCTGCGAGTTAAAACTTTTCTGCAACATAATCAAGTTTGATTTGCTTTAAAGAATCAATTGTTTAGAATTTTCGGCACTTCTTTGCTCTAAAAGTGATACAAAACAGCGGGAACATGACCTACGTAATCCAGAATGAGTACGATGTAGCAAAGCTTTAGTTTACATAACAGCTACTCAGCGCTATTTGTATGTAATTATTGGAATCTGAATCGAACAAAACCTATGTCTCCCATCAATCGATGTTTCGTGGAATTTTCAGGACTGCTTTCAAGCGTTTAAAATCTGGAAATCGTTTTAAAAAAATGCAGAAATTATATAAATGTCTGATGTTCAAAGTCTAAGTGAGCAAATCAGGATTTCTTAGACAAAGGATTTTTCTAGATTTTCGAGCCACTGGATCTCTTTAGCTTTTTGGCATCAAGTTCAAGGTGGATCAAAGCTGCAAAAGCAAGAATGCCATCTTACAGAGCTTGGTTTGCTCTATCAAATGGTACGAACCCATTTGGAAAAAAAAGTTTATGACTTATTGCGATTGAAATTCTAAAGGACGCAACTTATGGGACAAAGTAGTATACCCACTATAGTATACTCACTATAGCATTTATTCTCGCACAGATGTTCGTTATTACAAGCACGAGAATTTTTTCCGCGCAACTGTCGTCGGGACCGCAAGAACGTCAGTTTTCAAGTGTTAAATCTACTACACTACAAAAGTTTAAGAAGAATGGTTTTCCACAACTCCACCCGGATGCGCCAAGTCTTTGAAGATGCTCTAAACAATTTTTATTCCGAAAACGGCAAATCAAAGGAGCAATGACAAAGAGCGTAATTCACTTCAACAACGATAAAGTAAAAAAGACAGACAAAATTTCACGAGTTTTTCATTTTTTCAATCTCAAACGATGATGGGAATCTGTAAGTGGCGCCATAAGAAGTATCACCCATGAAAGCTGGTCCATGTGTATGAGCAATGTCGCCCGACGCAGGAGTTCGCACACCATCTGGAGCTCCGTATTTGTACGCTAAGCACGATGGTGGCTCTAACGGTGGGTCACGAAACGAAACACTGCGTCTTTCACGGCGATGTCCTCTCCATCGTAGCGATCCGGCCATTGTGCGAAGAGATCCGCGGTTTCGATACAGTTCATTCCACTGAGGAGAAGAAAGCACGTCGTCGCTTAATGTGATCGTTCCAGTAGCTCGATTTGAATCGCTTCCGATGTGATCTGAAGAATAGACCGAGTATAAACAGGTGAGTAACTGTGGCACAAAAGAGCAGTGTTCATGCAAGGGACCAGAGTAATTTCTTATAGGAAATTGGGTGAGCCTCCCTTTACAGGACAAGCTCACATATCCACATGCTTGTACACCGCCTTTGCATACCTTTGAACAAGTTTCGAAGATTATCAACCACTGAACTCAAACCGCTGCGTCGTCGAGGTCTAACATTTTCCTAAAAATAAACAGGAAAGGAGGGGGTAATGAATTGTGAACTGAATCATAATAAAAAAATAAAATCTACCTGCCGGATGTCGGTGCCTCTGGCATATTTTTGACCTGAAAATTTTTGTGAATTTAAGTCCACTCTAATTGAAAACGTCAATGCCCTAGAACAGTTCATGTTATTCATTGGGTACTGTAAGTTCACCTCTGAACAAAGATCGCACTTCTTACTGTAGTCGAGTGGATCAATGAGGCCCTCGACTACGGTAGGAATACGGTCTGTGCTGCAGGTTAGAATTATTCTCGGCCTCATGAATCATATGAGCTGCCGCTTGAGCTATAACTAAATTTAGTCTTCTGGTTAGTTTCCACATAGAAAACCTGGCCACTGTTGATCTGGACACTGGTTTTGTGCACAGTGACATGCAAGCAGTTTTTCGGAGTTAAATTATTTGATTTTTTGCTTCTACAAATTAGAATGCATAAAGGCCAAGGCTACAACATCAGATTAAAATAGACTTACGATGCGCCACACAGCCGAGAACTGCCCAAGCAACCGATGCCGTTACTATCGCGAAAACAGGTACCCACATTAAAGCTTCAAAAAGATCTGTAACTCTTCTTCCTGGTACAGCGGTAGTTCTTCACTGATTGTGAGGTACTTACAATGCATTCCATCAACCATACTGTGGCAGCCGTAGTTAACAATGATTTTAATGGAAATTTCGTATATCCATATCATGTGTTACCTTATCACAGCGTGACGTGGATGGATAAAGCTGTTTGTCAGTATCTTTTGCCATAGATTAACGTTCGGCTGAGGAAATGAGAAGCTTTTCAGTTTTGGATCTTACGAAATTGGCTCTGCGTCGGTTTCAAAATTGTAGAGAAATTTAAGTGTACGCCCAGTCTTTTCTCTACCAATTCATATTGTCAATTTCCATGCTAACTAACTGCTCTGGCAATATCGGCATTCTACAAAACTTTCATGCCATTATGGTGAGAAGAATCAAAAAACTCGTAATATCGTTTAGAAAAAAAACAACGTCTACTTTTTATTACGCTTCCACCCATGTTGTTCTACCATAATCATTGCGGGTTCATGGGCAGGGCTCGGGAAAATTGTGATTACGAGCTTTCCATTGTTCCTTGGTCTTCTGGAAGCGCTGGGTCCAGGGCTGTGCTTGAGAAGTCGAAAAAGTGCTTTTGATGGGGTTTTCCGGCGATTGCTAGAGGGGATGGGCGAGCCATCCAACTGAGTCGCGGTTGACTGCCTTAGGCTGATCAGCCAATTGCCGCCAAAATAGGTGGAGTTACAGTGGAGTTACAATCTCCAGCAGCCAGTTGCTCCTTTTGGGGTGAATCCCTCGACCCGCCCCTCCAGCAATCTCCAAGGCCTGAAAACGCCGAAAAAACACTTTTTGACTTCTCAAGCACTGTCCCGGACTCCGCGGATCCAGAAGGTGATGTAGCGAAAAGCTCGCACTCATAATTTTTCCGAGCCACTGCTTTAAAGTGTGCCAGTCTGGTAATATCCCTCCAAGATAAAGAAGAAGAAGAAGGACTATGGCACTTGCCGTTTCCTTCCGGAAGAAAACTTTTGGGGCATTTTCCAAAGTTTTGCCGGCTAACAAAAAACTTTACAATGCTATATATCAATTTGAAAATTGAAAATGATTTCATTATTAAAATTATTTACAGTCAAAAATCAGTCCTTTGCGCTATTTGTTGTAACGCACTAGACCACTTCCCCCGTCCCCATTCCCATATGCTCGGTCCACCATATGCCTCCACGACCAATCGTCAAACTCCTTTGATTTACTTAAACATACTTTCCACACTGGCGAAAAAAATATAAGTTCATTTTATTTACACTGATCACATAAATAAATGATGAATAACAACAGCTATGTATAACAAGCGACCAAACCCGTTCTGATCAGAATCAATCAATTACTTCGACTACAGAAGAGCTACTACTCGAGGAAGAGGAGGGCGATCGATGATGGTGATGATGATGATGGTGGTGTCGACTACTTCGATGGGAACTTTTTCCAGACTTTTCCTTTTTGGATTTCTTGGAAAATTTGTCTTTCTTAGATTTCTGAATAAAAAGATCAGTTTGTAGTCACGGCTCAACTCAAATGCGGAAAATGTAGATTTAAAACAGTGAGTGGGGAACTACTATAGTTAGAGCTGAATATTCGCACTCGAATAATTCTCCCAGAATATTCGAGTATTCAAATATTCAAACAATCGAATATTCGAGAAAGTCCATTTATTCGATTACTCGAGTAGTCGAATAATGGAAAAGGCCTGTATTCGAATAACTCGTTCATTCGACTATTTGAAAAAGGACTAATTCGAGAATTCGAATCTCTAGGAATTTTGAAAGACTTTATATGAGTATTCGAATATTCGAGAATTTTCGAGAAACAGTTGTTTGAATATTCGAATAAATGACGCATTCCACTACTCGAATATTGCGTTCGAATAATCGAATATTGCATTTGAATATATTTGAATATTCATTCATTCAGAGTCGAGTGTTCGATCAAGTTTGGTTAGTCGAATATTGAAGCTCCGAATTTTCGAATGTGCTAGTATTCGAATATTCGAATTCGAATAATTTGAAAATCGGCAAATGAATAATATTCGTTCGCTCGAAAGTTCCACGAGGATCAAATATTCGACATTCGTTCGTTTGAAAAATTTCTTGAAACAAACTTATTTGAACTTCATTCGTTCGTAAAAATTTCATTATTCAGTTATTCGATATTCGTTCGATGAAAATTTCCGTTCACAACTACAGGAACTATATGCCGCCGATAGGCTCCACCTCGCGGACAGCTGGTACTGGTGCAAATTTGTAATGCCTGATGGAGCTGCGTTTGTCACAGATGTCTGCGTGGAACCTCCTTCCGGCGACAAATAGTCCTCCATAAATATATTTACCAAAATTTTATCAGGGAGACGGCCCTTCTGAACCGCTAACATTAGCGGCCTAATTACGCGCGCCTCTGATTGGTCGGTGCTGCCGGCGCTTGCTTGAGCGAGAGCTATGCTGTCGTTAGAGACTCTGAATTGGACTGCAAAGGCATTCTCATGATGAAAAGAATCAAACAAGATTTCGATTCCCATGAAACTCGAAAATGTTTTATTTAAGCGGCTTAGGTAAATTCTTCAGCTTAAACGTGCAGACTTCATGGTGTTTTGAAAATTGGGAAGGGCGAAGAAATCACGAAATGGCCTTAGAAACATGCCCTTTCCAACTTTTTGTCTTCGTGATTCGAACATCCTCACTAACATTATCGTGTGCCTCACTTGCTTTGGAATGCTCGAAAAATGTTTGAAAACTCTGCTAGGTTATAAGAAAGGCGAAGTAATCAGCGTTGCCCGGGCAGGGTAATTAGCGCTAGGACGGAGCGGTTCAGAAGGGCACACACCGAATATTCGAATTCGAATAATTTGAAAATCGGCAAATGAATAATATTCGTTCGCTCGAAAATTCCACGAGGATCAAATATTCGACATTCGTTCGTTTGAAAAATTTCTTGAAACAAACTTTTTTGAACTTCATTCGTTCGTAAAAATTTCATTATTCAGTTATTCGATATTCGTTCGATGAAAATTTCCGTTCACAACTACAGGAACTATATGCCGCCGATAGGCTCCACCTCGCGGACAGCTGGTACTGGTGCAAATTTGTAATGCCTGATGGAGCTGCGTTTGTCACAGGTGTCTGCGTGGAACCTCCTTCCGGCGACAAATAGTCCTCCATAAATATATTTACCAAAATTTTATCAAAGTATTTTTGAATTTTAATTTCTCCCAACGAGGAGTAGCAGCAAAAAGATGTCTTACGCAAATAGTAAAAAAAGACTTTTTGCACGAAAATATGTAGGAAGATGTCACCTCACCTCAGACTTATGCTTCTTATGTCCTTTCTTCTTCTTGTCTTTCCTTTTGTCGATCTCTTCCTTGAGGTACTTCAAAACGGAAAATCCAGTTATGGCTAAAAAGAAATTATCGAGCAAATTGCACAAAAATGAGTTATGAATGCTGAAAAAAAAGTATAATGATAACAACTCACTCTCACTAGTGCTCGGCGGAGGTGCAGGTCCAAAATCTACATCGTCATCCACAATATCCATTACAGTGACTGGCTTTTTCGGCGCCTCCTCTGCCACCGTCTCCACAACTTCTGTTTTGATCTCCTGTTTGACTTCCTTCTCTTCTTCCTTGTCGTCCTTTCTTGCATCATCTTCCTTCTTCTTATCGTCTTTTTCTTCCTTCTTCTCCTCTTCAGTTTCACTCTCACTCTCACTGTCGCTCTCTCCAAATATGACATCAAAAATGTTCTGGGGTGGTCTGTCCAAATCATCATCGCGCAGCTCCTTCGTATTCGCCTCTTCAGCCTCCTCTTCTTCAAGGTGTTCTATTTCACGAGCTCTTCTGAAAAATAAAAACCATGCAGAAGCTCAGTAAGGAAGTCTATGCCCACCTGTGAGCAATCTCGCTGGCAGTCTGAGGTAAGCCAAGGTTGAGTAAAGTCTCTTTCTTTGTACTTTTCTGAAGATGAGGCACTCCAACCATTCCAGCTCCCGGGTAAGGATTCGGAATGTTAAATCGTTTCGCGAGGACATTGTCGGGGTACCTACAACAAGTGTTTACGGAGGGAAAACAAATCTATAGTCCAGCGGTCACTGGAACAGATCTTTCCGTTGCAGAGAATTATAGAATGAGCATTAAAAAGATAATAGCAGTAGAAATTATCCTTATGTTTATAATAGCAAATTTTGACGATTCGAACAAACACCAACCATTGAAATGTCGTTCGCGTTCTGTCTCCGAACATACCCATCTTAACCGCTGCCATTTTATCGCTGTCATGTTTGGCTGACTGAAAGTAAGTGATGACGATAGTAGGATGAGATACTGGAGTCAAGATACTTACATGACCAGAAGAACCAGTTTCTTTAGCAAACTTATTTTGTAAAAGCTCTTGTATCGGCAATGCCAAACTGGATTTTGCCAGAGGTTGTGCCCTTGCTCGGACCTAAAAATCTCGTAATCAAAGATTACAGAATAAGAACAATGATCTTCAAAGGGAAAATGACCAACTTCACGAAGATGATGCTAACTAGCATACGTTCAAGAACGAAAAGCAATCAAAGATAAGAATACATACAAACTAACCTCGGGTAGCATTCCCCTTTCTTCAGCCGTTAATCTTTTATCAAACTCCTTACGTTCAGACTCCCATTCCCATACAGTCAACTCCTTTGGCTGTGGAAGTACAAGTCCTAGAAGTTGGGGAAGACTTCGCACGCTTCACTAAAGGTTTATATAGAGCAATTTACCTCTTCGAAGATATTTGAGATACTCTTTGAACCTAGACTGCTTCATAGGCTCATTGGGAAACTCAACTCGATCCTGAATATCAACGATTTTGGCAGAAAATGCAGGGTGACTGAATAAATTGTTGCAATGAGCGCAAACCTTGCTGCCGCTTGTATCTTCTCTTCTCTGATCTGACCTTTCCCGCTGGTCCCATCTGCTTCGATGTTGCTCAAGACGTTTACGATCTTTATCGCTTACGAGTTCCATCACAGAAACGCGGTCCTCTCCAAGTAATCTATAAAACTCAACTGTCATAAAAGTTCCTATTGTTTTAAGCGACAGTTTGCAGCACTTTGCTCTTTGGATTGCTGTCAGCGTCTTCATTGCATCTTGCAGAGCTGTTGGTAGTTTAACGGCTGCTGGAGCTATTGGGCGATGAGCTGGCCGAAAGTTAGAAGGTAATTTTGGTGGTGCATAGAATTTTCGTGGATTCAAGCGCTAAAAAAAATTTTTTACCCAAACAAAGCAAAGCTGAATAGAGACGAATCTTTACCTTGCCGGCCAATACAAATGTGCTGTCCACACCAGACGATTCCTCTTCTGATGTGCCCGGAGCATCCAATGCAAAATCAAATTGATCCAAATCATAATTTGAATAAATATTCTCATCATCTTCCTCAAATGCGCCGACACCAAAGGCCTACAAGATAAACTCAAGACAAGCATTGGAGAAGACCTCTCAACCTTATTCTCACCTGTCCCTTGATTCCTTTACTTTTCGCATGTGCTTTAAAGGCTGACGCTACCCTTCCATACCGTTCATCAAGCACAGTAGAAGCGCTCATGGCCTCGTAACCCAATCCGTGAATGCCTTCAACGGATTTTAACCGAGTCATCAAGACATCTTCAGTTCCGGCTTCGTAGCCTTCAGGTGCAGCAGCCTTGATTCGTTCAGAGTCAAAATCGCTCACTAAAACAGGACAAAATTCTCTCTGGTAGCGGCAAATAAAGTAAGGGTGCAGTGATATACAATTTTGAAAACCCCGATGCGAATACATGCTATAAATTTGAAACTTATGCTAAACTCGAGGCATACCAGTAAATTTGGGAAAAAATAGCAAAAAGCATAACTGAAAAAATGTTTCAAGCAATAAAAAGAAAGCATGGAAAGCATTTCCAAACCTCAACTATCTAAACCAACCTTGCTTTTTCATTTTTGATGTCATAAGTCCTACACCTCGCCCTTCGCGCCATCCCATAGCTCTTAGCATGCGCTTTCCAATGGAGTCACTGGAATATGGGTCTCAAATGCGATTCATAGATCTAACTTTACAGGTTACCTCACAGGTCTAATGACATCTTCAAGATGTTGGGCTATAGAAGTTCCAGAGGTGGTGGTTACGTCATGCTCCCAAGCCATACGCTTCTCCGCCGATTTTCCCGACGTAAACTTCTCGGCAGTACGGATCCGTCTAGCCCCAATGCCGAATTCTCCGAGATCCTGCAGTAGATGGTAAGTACATTTGAAGATGATAAGAATGAAAAGAAAATTTGTAGACAGGGAATTGATAGCATAGACATCAAAAGGCGACGTCCATCCATGTCTGCTACTTGGATTTTATGTGGAAATCTCACCTCTTCATCCATAAGATCCTCTGCCCTCTGCTGAATGAGGGCAGCACGTTGCTCTCTGGACGATTTGAATTCTTGAGGTGTCCACCCTTGAAATCAAAAAACTAGGAGAAAATAAAGCGAATAGACAATACCTCACCTTCTTTGCTACCAACTGTATTATAATAACCAGCGGAGAACCCTCCCGTGAATGCTCCATGGAATCTAAGCCGAAGGACTGCGAAAACGAATTCTAATGAAGATCTTTTGAAACTCACCTACGACGTCCATTTTCATCTGTTACAATCTGATCCTGTATTCCAGCTGGTTTCTTTGACATAGCTAGAACTTCAATGTTTGAAAAAATAGGCATGACAATTGAAAAATCATATTAAAACAGCAAACTAAGTGTCATCGCACCATGCCTTATGGTATGGTAAAACCATAGCCTTTGTTAGACAGTTCTACCAAAGGCAAAAAGGAGGTAACAAATTTGAAAGTTTTTGTGATAAGGATGCTAAAAAGATCGAAGTTTGGCCTTCTCGCAAACTTCACAGGTTTCTAGCTACCCTCCTGCCTTTTACAGTTCTACCAAAGAGAAAATTAGTCACATGACTTTACTAACAATAATATAATCCTTACTTTCCTCATCTTCCAGCTCCTCAAACTCGGTCCCATAAACAGCAAAAAAGTCATTTTCGTTCGGCATTCTGTGAATTTAAAAAATCAAGTATGTATTTGCCAATTAATCTCCAGAAATAGGTATCATGGAGATGCTCATCTCTATACTCTGGTCATTAGCACTATGTTCATACGGAACATTTATTAGTCGTATGATAGAGGAATGAGACAAACACAATCTGAGATGACAACTTGAAAAGCACGCACAAATCTAATTCTACTCTTCTTTTCCACAGGAGGTATATTCTTTGCTACTTCATTACTTGTTGACCTTCGAGAAGTAGTCCTTGCTCTCTTTTACTCCTGGCTTAATAGTTGGTGAGTCATCATGCCAATCAGCAGGACAGACCTAGATGTTCAAAAGGCTGATCTCGCTCGAAGTTCAACTACAAAGTTTGCACTCACTTCTCCATGTTTGTCAACAAACTGGAAAGCTTTCAGCACACGCATTGCTTCGTCTACTGAACGACCAACGGGCAAATCATTGCAAGTAGTATGACGAACTTCGCCATTGGGATCTATGAGGAAAAGTCCGCGGAACGAGACACCTGCATCCTAAAATGGAAAATTATTTAGAAATATTAAAAAAAGCTGCCATCAATGCAGCCTACCTCATCTAGCACTCCAAAACTCCTGGCGATTTTTTTGCTAAAATCAGAAAGAATCGGAATGTTCATGTCGCCTAGTCCTCCTTCTTTACGTGGAGTCTGCACCCAAGCAAGATGAGAGAAATGAGAGTCGCAGGAGCAAGCCACGACCTAAATTCAACTTTGCTAATGCAATCACCATATGAAGGCATAGGAAAAAAGACGCACTTCACATCCGAGTTTTCGGAACTCCTCAGCACGATCTCCAAATGCGATAATTTCTGTGGGACATACGAAGGTGAAGTCAAGTGGATAGAAGAAGATGATAAGCCATTTTCCCTTGTAATCTTTGGAAGAAACAGTCTGAAAGACGTTTTTTTCTAACTTCACAAAACAATATCTAGCTCAATCCAGAACAAACTTCTGATGGTAGAAAAACTATGAAAAAATACCTTGAAATCGCCATCAACCACTGCGGTGGTTTGAAACTCTGGTAGTTTACATTTTGGGCCGAGTGGCCGGACAGTCTGAAGTATGGGAGTGGTAGACAATGGTCGAACAGCTTTAACGGCCATTCCAGATCGGCACACGGCTCGTACGGCGTTCCGAATCATAACTACAACTAAAGCTCATAAAAAATGCTCATTAAATTGACACAATACAACTGAGTGGAAGTGGGAGAATCAAGGAAGCAAATATTAGATAGGAAAACATGAAGACGTTCCAAAATATCAAGTTCCGAAAATTGACGCTTCATTTTTGAAATTTATAACTTTTCGATTTCTTGACGAATTTGCTTCTTTGTAATTTTATTGGCAAAAAAAATTCTTCCCTTTGCGTGAAATTTGATGAGCTTCTAACATACACTCATGGCAAAGATAAGGGCAGAAAAATAAGACCATTCAGACTTTGAACAATTGAGCTAGGTAGCCGAAAATCTAGAACGATGCAGAGAAATCTGGAATTGCCAGTGCATAAATTGTTTCCACTCTTTGCAATTGAGAAAAAAATGGGTTTTGACGTTTCTGTAAAGTTATTGGGAATTTTTCAGTTTTTGAGGAAGTGAGAAACTGATCAATTTTGGCGTTTTTTATTGTAACCTCGTCATAACCGCACATTCCCAGCACAAAACCTATGTTTTTTTAAGATTTTTCCGCAAGGCTCCAGATTCCAAGCGACCTAATAAGATGGTTATAGCCCGAACGTCTTCTTTTTCCATTGTTATCTCTGCAAATGAGCGCATAGTAGAAGCTCATCAAGATAAATTTATAGAAAGGAAGACTTCTTTTCAAAAACTGCAAAGAAGCGAATCCCTCAAGACAGCGCAATGTCACAAAATTTCAAAAATGATGCGACAGAACTTTGGGGACAACCTAATATGTTGCTTTATCTGCAAAAACTCAAGAGCTAAAAACGCATTTATTTTGCAGCAACAGCAATAGTGTAAATGCATGAAGGTCATAGAACAATGGTGCTATTACACTTATGATCGTCATCGATTAAAATCATTCACCTGCGCGCAGAGAAAATCTGAACATAAATCCTCAAAAAAAGTAGTTACGCAATTTTGTCTTTAACTTCTTCACTTCTCTCGACCTTCTGGACGTAATCAGAAAACCGCTCTTCCTTGCCGAATTTCAAAGCCTTTTCATAGTTCTTTCTGGACAAGAACAATGCCGATTGGGCGTGGCGCGAAATGTCAACCCCTGAGAAACGATGATGAAGCTAGCTGGGTAAATCTATTCGCTTTTCCAAAAACCCAAGTCCCCAAAACTCAATAAACACTCATGAATCCAACAACTCACTGCATTCGCAATTCAACCGAAACCTCAGAAATGATATACAGATAGATACTTTCAATGGAAAAATGATAGGCATCATTACTGTAGCACTTCAATAAAATGCCCTCTAACAGAGGCTATCGTGATTGTTACGAAGCGCTCACTCATACACTATGCTGTTCAGATTACCATAATGCTTAATTTTTCTTTTGAAGAGAAGCGTGCCCAAATATACTACTGTGCGCGCGGCACTATAGTGCTACAAGCACCAAAACACTTATGTTTGGATGCGCAGTAACACGGGAGTGTAAGATCACTGCCTAACAATGGAGTTTTTCTTCCATACACATTATGAAAATCGCAAAACTGTGTCGCTAACATATGGAACTCTAAATCGACAATTTCCGTCAATATCTGAGATGAAAAGCACTAAAACAATACCACCATTCTTACTGCTTGGAAAAAACTTCTCAGCTTCAGACACAATTGAGAACGTAACACGCTTATACGAAAATCAGTTTAGAACTACAAAGGAACCTCCCATTAGAGGCGGCAGTAAGTCTAAGTAAACACCTCACTAACGATGCAAGATAAGAATGATATAAACATTCACTTGAGATGCGTTTTGTAAAAAACGCAAAGATACTGCAGCCGTGCAACGATTTGCAAACACGTTCCTACATTTTTTGCAAACGCACTCTTTATTTGCAACAAAAACGAGGTGTAAATATCAATAAACTAAAGTCGCTCAGGTGAGAACACGTGGCGTAACACAAGATCATCGCACAGCAAAAAGAAACGTCATATTATAGTAACATAAATAGGAAAACAACAAAAGCAAAAACAAATCGGCTATCGTTACTTCACATGTTGTCAAAATGTCAATGAACTTCAATTGGTGACAAATAAGTGATTGAGCTTTACTTTTTCGACTTCGAGGGTGGGGGTTTCACAAAGCACCAGGTGACGGCGATTTTCTGGCCGAGCAATTCTTCACCATTCAGTCCTTCGATAGCTGCAGCAGCTTCCTGTAAGATTTGATTTATATCGAAACTGAGGCTCTCTAGGCGCCTACCTTCTGCGTCTCAAATTCCACCAATGCATATCCTTTCAAGAAACCAGTTCTTCGGTCCAAATTCAGATGAACGTTCTTGATTTCTCCATACTCTCCAAATTTATCTTGTACGTCTTCTTCCGTAGCTTCCTCGTGGATATTCGTTACGAAAACAATCCAACCCTGAGTGAAATAGAAAAAAATTTCACTCACAAAAAAGTGTGATAAAAAATTACGTTATTGATGGGAAAGGTTAGAGGTTTAGAACGCCGTACTCATTTTGAAGAAATGAACAGCGACGCAAATACAAGTGAGATCGGCATGCAATGCCTGCAGATCGTAACGAAACTCGAATGTTATGACACCGTGATGCGCGCAAGCATTTGTCCCGCCGAATCCGTTTCGGATCAAAAAAGCAAGGGATTCTCAAACACTTTGAACAAAAAAAAATTGAGGAACCCAGTTCAGCGTATAAGTAATCAGTGTCAAATGATCATAGAAAATACACACTATCTATAATCAGAACAAAAAGGTGAAAATTCAAAAAAAGTCAAGCATTGTCGCTAACCTCGATTGATCGCTGTGGACCAGTTGAGGTACCATCTGTTTCCACAATATCATACGTAATCCTTTCTGCCCGCTGACGAGGTTGACCAACACCGCGACCCTGCAAATCAAAGATAGTATATCGATAACAACCAGAAACCTCCGAACTCTACCTTTGATGACTTCGCATTCGCCACACTGGTCTCTTCATTCTCCATCTCAACGTCGAGTGCCTCCGACATTGTGTTCTGTAAATTTTTATATTTTATTATAGCTGACCAATGATACAAAACATGTAGCGCGCCACATCGACTTGAAGGGCAGCAACTACAACGATAGACGACCAAATGGAACAAAATACATGTACAGAAGAAGATCGTAGCCGTATGCGTTTAACATGCACATAAACACACATGAAGATGGATGAATTCGAAATTAAAGATGAAAAAAATACGGAGACGAAAATGCTGGGTGAAATTAGGATGTCCAGTAAACAAATTATGCAAAAGTTTATAGCTAGAAATTGAAGCCGCCGCCAACGAGACGACGCATCCGTCGTGTGTTCCTGTCCTGATCACGCATTTTCTTCTCAATCTCAGCGTCAGTGAGGGTCTCCAAAAATGGACCCCATGTTTCAGCTTCTGATGGATTCCTAAATAGTCCTAGGTTATCAATGAGGTTACCTCAAGAATCAAAAACATACCTGAAAGTACATTCTACTGTCGGTTGAGGACTTTCAGAAAACGCATATGTCCTCTGGTTCCACTGCAGCTGTCCTCGGATGGAATAGGCGATGGCTGAAGTAAATTCACCACCAAGTCCCAATTCAGCACATAAGCTTCGAGCAAAATCTTCAGGACTATTGTTGGGGTCAGACATGTCCCACCTGAATGGAAGGGTATACGAATAAATTTTTATAAGATTGAGAGAAGGAGCTTACTCGAACTGGTCCACAAGACTTTGATTGCCGACATTGATGTTCAACTTCATAATAGCCCGCTGGTCGGTAACATTAGGGTCTAATGGTGGAGCTTCTGCGGCAGCTTCAAGCTAGATTGTAAATTTTCACCTTATGCGCTAAAAAATGCGCGGAGTACCCTACAGAACCTCATGCCCCTTTCCGTAGCTACCGGGATAGCTACCAACCTGCTGATATATTGCGGAAGCTATAGCGGGTTGAAATGTACTTGTAGGTAAATCCAGATCCTCGCACATCATTTCAGCAATCTGAAAACAAAGATCTTAAAAGAAAAAAGGAAGGGATGAAAACTTATACTGACCAAATCTGGCGTAATCAGCTTCTCATTTTTGTTATAACAGAACGTATCTCGCAACTTCACACCATCCAATTCCATGTCTAAACGTATTGGCACAAGTTCCTCCGGTTGTTCACCATTTTCAGCTACCCTAAAAATCAGTTGTTTTTTTGTTAGTAAAACCCCAAATCGCTCCTACTTTTTTGCCTGCTCCAGATCTTCCGCACTATAGGCAAGTTCACGCGGCTTCACTCTTCCTCGAGCGTGAGCAAGTGGACAGGAGCATGGCACCGATTCCAAGTGATGCGAACCGCTGCTAACCTAAAAAGAGAAGACTCTGCTACTTCAAAGCTTCTACCCCTTTATCCTCTTACCGATATATCGGTAAGCTATAGCTCATTTTTATTTTAGAAAGCATAAGTAGTATTTGATAACCAGCATTCAGTTTAAAATGTAAAGGCACTGACACAGATTTTCAGGGTATATTTCCGCATGCATGATACAAAATAAGAAACATCGGACAGACAAAGGCTCGTCTCTCCCCTACCTGCTAGGTAGTTCTAACTAAGTGGATAAGTGACCACTAACTGCCCACATTTGGGGATAAGCCGACGTGTCCGAGAAGCAAAAAAATTTTGGTAAAAAAAATATTTGAATGGCCACTCCATGGAATTCCACTTTAGCTTATAATTACATAACATCTGTAGATCGCATTTTCACTCAATTTTATGCAGAATTTTTTTGAGCAGAGAAAAATCTAACTACGAAGTTTCATCTAATTTGGCCCAAATTACGAAATGATAATAGTGGTCTGGACAAATCGCGAAAATTTTATCATTTGCAAGGGTCAAAAACTAAGCGATATCCCTTTCCAATTCATCAGAACCGAGATGCCAAGTCGCGGAAAGACAAAGCATGCTCGTGCTCATGAATGTGCTTTATAATTAGCCGGCTAGATGTGCTGCAAACCCAATACCTGATTTACGGACGTAGTGATCTCCTACCTCTGAAGTAATGAGATACAAATGAGCTATAGCAAAACTAATTTCTGACGCTGCTAAGAATGACTTTCAAACTAGGCTTATACGAATGCAGATGAACTAGTATGAGGGTCCATTGCCGAGCAATTCACACTAAGTAAGACTGATACATAAAAGGTCATTGGCCTCGTATGAGTATTATCCAGCATGAATATAATAATAGAAAGAAGCTTCTTCCTTGCCAAGGCATCGCGTACTGTTCTTTCTCCCTCTTCTTAGCAATTCAGAACTCATTTGACTCACTAACCTGCTGTCCCATCCATCCAGCCGGTACATTTGGCTTATTACCTTTGGAAAGTCCCGAGTCCACTCTAGGAATCGATGGAGTTGATCCTGCAGCTCGATACTTTTCCTCTTGGCCTGCCAATAACTCGTCGATTTCATGCGCTTTCACCAACCTGAAATCATAGACCAATTTATAGGTATCAGAAGTTAAAATAGACAAAAGGACCAGTAACCTACATGATATTGGTGTGCATGAAAGCTTGTGAAAGCGCGATTTGACGAAGCTTTTCTTTGTCCTCTTGCGTAGCCACCTTTCGCCATAGCACTGGATATTTCTTGTATAGCGTACCGCGATGTAACCTCAGGTAAGCACCGATTTCGGACCCTGAAAATTGCAGATCTTAAACCTGCGTCCTGATCCGACCTCAATCAAAAATTGTGGCATTTAGGCCTCATGCATACTTGACGCGATTTCAGTCGCCACGCGATCTGGCAATGATCCAATTGATATAACAACTCATCCTGTGCGCATTTTGAAGGTACAGAAGGTGGGGCATATGATCGGTTCACGAAAACTAAACAAGCTTTGCAGTGCAAACCGCCACTGCTAATCGTAAAAATCCGGCAAATTGCCAAATCGCGTCGCCACTGAAATCGCTTGCACTATGCCCGAGACCTTAAGTTTTTGTTCTGACAATTCTGTTCAACCAGTTACAGATTCGACATTTCAAGACCAAAATTGACTAATAAGAACAATAACTAATACTAATGATAATACTAATCATTGACCCATTTGAATACAGATTGAAAAAGCTGCCCAATGATTGAAAGTTCTTATTATCTTTGTCTAAATCAAAAGATTTCCCGCTACCGCTTTCAATATAGCCATCAGCTGGTCAGAGAAAAACAGAAGAGCAGTAAATGGGACTAAGCTTACTTACCGATGTAGTATCGCTCCCCTGAATCGTCCATTGCAAAGGACTGCGGGCGTGGCCCATATGTAGAATTGCTAATCGTCATGATTTATCCCTCTAAATGAAATGATGCGCACACGATTACTTGGACTCCGGAAAGAAACACTTAAGCTCGAAGAGATATACATATCAGAAGCAACAAAAGATCCGACCAAAAGCAGTACAAAAGTAAGAAAATCACTCAGAGAAAAGTTTCCAAATGTTGTCTAAATAACTTCTATAATAGAAAACGGTGCTAAAATGGTCTAAGAAAGCCTAACACTTGAAAATGCACCGAAAATAGCAACCGCATAAAATCAATTCACTGTCTACAGAGAATTCCATACAAAATTCATAATACGATGGACTTCGGAATAGGTAAGGCGATTACGACGGAGAAAAAAGAGACCGGCGCAAGTTTTGGAAAAGTTTGAAGCATCCAGGACGGATGTGAATAGGCAGACTTTAATTCGTCAGCTTTAGTTTAAACAGATATCCGTGACGAAAAAGAACCACCTCAAATGTGAAAAAAACATTGAGTAAAAGCAATCCTGACGCCGTCCTCAATCGAAAATTCGAAAACAAACATTAATTCCTTTGAGAGCGAGCGGCGACACACTTGCCATTGGAGCGCGATATTCGCAGTTTGTTATCAGTTTGTCACTGCGACTTGCTTATGATAGCGAGAACTGTTATCGCTCACTGGAGCTTGTATCATAGCGCAAAATGATAACCTAAGCTAAAACAAATTATTAGCAGCATTGCTAATTGCTTGTTGAAAATCATATCTCCATAGCGACGCGGCCACATGGGGCGTGACATAAACCCCCATTAAAGGGTTCGGTCATTCGGCTTCTGCAGAGCTCGCATGGATCTGATCGTATTCCCATCGCTATTCATTATGACTGTATTTCTCACATTCGGAGTATTGTATCTGATCGCATGAAGGTTCAATCGATATGCATCTTATCAGTATATTTTGCGTGTGCTGCACATTTAGCTCTGCAGTTGCAGAATGGGAGCTGCCATTCAACTTCAGGTGAACGCTGCTTTCAAACATTCTTACTGTTTGGTCTTAGGTGGAGTTGTGGGGGGGGGGGGGGAGGGGAGGAGTGCCTTATGTATTGAGAATTTAGGCGACTTTATTATTTGTAACTATGAGGAAATATGGTTCAGTTACAATCACCATGCGCAATGCGGTACTGTAGGTCTATTGTAAGAGTGCCGTAGCAAGTAAGATGCAGTATTCAATATCTTTACTAGCTCTGTCTGGATAACGGAAACGCAGAAATCAGTACTATTTGTCTTATACGAGAATTAGGGCCAAGTCATCATCGGCTCCCAGATCCGTGTGGAGACGGATTGCGGACTTCCCTGATTTTCAAGATAAACTTGTTAAACCTCCACGTTATAGCATTGTATCTCGTACTCTCTCGTCAAGCTTGTCCTTAAAATCAGAAAAGTCCGCAACCCGCCTCCACACGACTGGGAGCCGATCACTACGTAATATATAACGAATTCGTTGATTACGCAATAGTCCTCTGATAGTTGGATTATGGCAAACGAGGAGGCCGCAGACGTAAAAATTATGATGAAATACACTGATCTTTGGAATTGGATTGCTGCCAAGTGGCATGCGTTTTGGAACGCTGCCAAATTTCAAAACGAGTGACCAAGCACATTTTCGTAAAAGGGTCACACGTATTTCGAAAGGCAATCATGAGGTCGCAATGATTTTGAGCATGGGCCGCCAGTGTCCGGGTGTGTTATTTGTAGCTGCTTTTTTTTCGAGCTTGTTATCCCAGGTGTCTTTCAAATATGTTGTACTCCTATTAGTTGCTTTTGAAATAATGCCAAATTGCGTAACAGCGTGACTTGAGCTAAATTCATCTAAGTTCCCAACTCTTTTAAAAATGCTCTAACTAAGAACAGTCACTTTAGGATCGTCTTGCTTCCACGTGTAGACAAAAGAGTGCGTGAGTAACTTGGTCTCGCTGTACTTTTGGAAACGTTTATCTAATAACAGCCTTGCTTTTGCTTGTTAATGGGTCCCGCTGGTGCTTTCAACTAGGAATCGGTGTGTAAGCGGCACGGAGGGCAATTGCATCGGGCAGCGAAACAGATTTTTGTGCGTTTGGGGCAGTTCTCAGAATTTAGATTCCAAAAGTGGCATGTACGGCAATTTGTGAATACGCTGTAAATACTTGATTTCGTTGTTTTCTTTCCGTAGAGTCGTAAGGTTGGTTTTTCGGTCTTCAAGCGGCACATAGGCATAAACTTTCTTTTAAATAGTTATTATTGGTCGGTAAGCGGCAAGTAGGGCAATTTGATCGGGCAGGGGAACAGATTTTTGTACGTTTGGGGCAGTTCTTATAATTTATGAACGGCCTTCAAGCGGCACGTAGGGCAACTTGATCGGGCAGGGGAACAGATTTTTGTACGTTTGGGGCAGTTCTTATAATTTTTGAACGGTCTTCAAGCGGCACGTAGGGCAACTTGATCGGGCAGGGGAATAGATTTTTGTACGTTTGGGGCAGTTCTTTTAATTTTTGAACGGTCTTCAAGCGGCACGTAGGGCAACTTGATCGGGCAGGGGAACAGATTTTTGTACGTTTGGGGAAGCGGCACGTAGGGCAACTTGATCGGGCAGGAGAACAGATTTTTGTACGTTTGGGGCAGTTCTCATAATTTTTAAACGGTCTTCAAGCGGCACGTAGGGCAACTTGATCGAGTAGGGGAACAGCTTTTTGTACGTTTGGGGCAGTTCTTATAATTTTTAAACGATCTTCAAGCGGCACGTAGGGCAACTTGATCGGGCAGGGGAACAGATTTTTGTACGTTTGGGGAAGCGGCACGTAGGGCAACTTGATCGGGCAGGGGAACAGATTTTTGTAGGTTTGGGGCAGTTCTTATAATTTTTGAACGGTCTTCAAGCGGCACGTAGGGCAACTTGATCGGGCAGGGGAACAGATTTTTGTACGTTTGGGGAAGCGGCACGTAGGGCAACTTGATCGGGCAGGAGAACAGATTTTTGTACGTTTGGGGCAGTTCTCATAATTTTTAAACGGTCTTCAAGCGGCACGTAGGGCAACTTGATCGAGTAGGGGAACAGCTTTTTGTACGTTTGGGGCAGTTCTTATAATTTTTAAACGATCTTCAAGCGGCACGTAGGGCAACTTGATCGGGCAGGGGAACAGATTTTTGTAGGTTTGGGGAAGCGGCACGTAGGGCAATTTGATCGGGCAGGAGAACAGATTTTTGTACGTTTGGGGCAGTTCTTATAATTTTAAAACGGTCTTCAAGCGGCACGTAGGGCAACTTGATCGAGTAGGGGAACAGCTTTTTGTACGTTTGGGGCAGTTCTTTTAATTTTTAAACGATCGGCAACTTGATCGCGCAGGGGAGCAGATTTTTGTACGTTTGGGGAAGCGGCACGTAGGGCAACTTGATCGGGCAGGGGAACAGATTTTTGTACGTTTGGGGCAGTTCTTATAATTTTAAAACGGTCTTCAAGCGGCACGTAGGGCAACTTGATCGAGTAGGGGAACAGCTTTTTGTACGTTTGGGGCAGTTCTTTTAATTTTTAAACGATCTTCAAGCGGCACGTAGGGCAACTTGATCGGGCAGGGGAACAGATTTTTGTACGTTTGGGGAAGCGGCATGTAGGGCAACTTGATCGGGCAGGGGAATAGATTTTTGTACGTTTGGGGCAGTTCTTATAGTTTTTGAACGGTCTTCAAGCGGCATGTAGGGCAACTTGATCGGGCAGGGGAACAGATTTTTGTACGTTTGGGGCAGTTCTTATAATTTTTAAACGATCTTCAAGCGGCACGTAGGGCAACTTGATCGGGCAGGGGAACAGATTTTTGTACGTTTGGGGAAGCGGCACGTAGGGAAACTTGATCGGGCAGGGGAACAGATTTTTGTACGTTTGGGGCAGTTCTTATAATTTTAAAACGGTCTTCAAGCGGCACGTAGGGCAACTTGATCGAGTAGGGGAACAGCTTTTTGTACGTTTGGGGCAGTTCTTTTAATTTTTGAACGGTCTTCAAGCGGCACGTAGGGCAAAAGCGGCACGTAGGGCAACTTGATCGGGCAGGGGAACAGATTTTTGCACGTTTGGGGCAGTTCTTATAATTTTTGAACGGTCTTCAAGCGGCATGTAGGGCAACTTGATCGGGCAGGGGAACAGATTTTTGTACGTTTGGGGCAGTTCTTTTAATTTTTGAACGGTCTTCAAGCGGCACGTAGGGCAACTTATTCGGGCAGGGGAACAGATTTTTGTACGTTTGGGGAAGCGGCACGTAGGGCAACTTGATCGGGCAGGAGAACAGATTTTTGTACGTTTGGGGCAGTTCTCATAATTTTTAAACGGTCTTCAAGCGGCACGTAGGGCAACTTGATCGAGTAGGGGAACAGCTTTTTGTACGTTTGGGGCAGTTCTTATAATTTTTAAACGATCTTCAAGCGGCACGTAGGGCAACTTGATCGGGCAGGGGAACAGATTTTTGTACGTTTGGGGAAGCGGCACGTAGGGCAACTTGATCGGGCAGGGGAACAGATTTTTGTAAGTTTGGGGCAGTTCTTATAATTTTAAAACGGTCTTCAAGCGGCACGTAGGGCAACTTGATCGAGTAGGGGAACAGCTTTTTGTACGTTTGGGGCAGTTCTTTTAATTTTTGAACGGTCTTCAAGCGGCACGTAGGGCAAAAGCGGCACGTAGGGCAACTTGATCGGGCAGGGGAACAGATTTTTGCACGTTTGGGGCAGTTCTTATAATTTTTGAACGGTCTTCAAGCGGCATGTAGGGCAACTTGATCGGGCAGGGGAACAGATTTTTGTACGTTTGGGGAAGCGGCACGTACGGCAACTTGATCGGGCAGGGGAACAGATATTCGTACGTTTGGGGCAGTTCTTATAATTTTTAAACGGTCTTCAAGCGGCACGTAGGGCAACTTGATCGGGCAGGGGAACATATTTTTGTAGGTTTGGGGCAGTTCTTATAATTTTTGAACGGTCTTCAAGCGGCACGTAGGGCAACTTATCCGGGCAGGGGAACAGATTCTTGTACGTTTGGGGAAGCGGCACGTAGGGCAACTTGATCGAGTAGGGGAACAGCTTTTTGTACGTTTGGGGCAGTTCTTATAATTTTTAAACGGTCTTCAAGCGGCACGTAGGGCAATTTGATCGGGCAGGGAAACAAATTTTTTGTACGTTTATGCAGTTCTGATTGACGGTCTTTAGGTGGCTCAGTAGTGTGCTTTTCGGGGAGGGATCTACTTATGTAGTAAAGCTTCATATTCCTTTGGCGAAAGTATTGAAGGATTTTCTGACAAAGTTCTTAGACGATTGTTTCGTTGCTGTCGGAGTTGTTTCTGAGAGAAAAGTGTTTATTGTAGTGCACAGTTGTTGTGGGTGTATTTCTACTTCCAAAACCATAGGTGTTCTTCTACTTCCTTGACGATCTTCTATGGAAATTGTTGAGAAGAACTGGAAGAGCAAATTCTCTTTGAGAGGGTAGAAAAGATGGGAGGGGGGTTATCTGAATGTCTCTGTGAGTAAACGAGAAAAAAATAATACCCCATGCATGGTTGCAGCAGGAATTTCGAGAAATGCTGAATGATTTGTGGAGATTATTGCTTTTTCGAACAGTTCTCCTTTTGTAGAATGCTTCGCAAAGATGTTCTCAGCAAAGGCACAGGAAACTTATTTAGGAAAATTCTCTAGAAATCAACTAAGCCCTTATATTGTATCTGCCCCTACCCACTTGCTAGCGACCCGTAGGGTCGCTAGTTACAAATTAATTATTGGTTGATGCAAAAATAATGTCCGTTGCAAAAAGTTTCACTTTGAAATAAGAACTTTGTTCAGTTCCCATATTTTTGAATATGGTCAAGACCATTAAAAGCACCAAGCCTTTCGTAACTTAGCGCCCACTGCACACACTGATAGCGCAAACGGGAAGAGAACTCCTAAGTCAAAAAACCAAAAGGTTCTCTTTTGAAGACCTCGTTTTTGAAACCTTACATTCCTTCCAAATTTTGTTCCCGTAGCCGATAATCAGCTCATTTTGAATCCCCAAGCCAGTAATATGTGTACAGAAAACACCTCAACGAAAGAGTTCTGCGAGAAGAAAAAATTTCAAAATTGTCCACCCTTTTCAGCCTGTTTGTGGTGGGTTTGAAAGTCCCAATTATGAAAATTTGGAATTCTTCATGCACTGTATGACTGAGTTTTTCTGAAAAAATTGTAGGCAAAATGTCCTAACCTCAAGCTTACAGAAATGAGCGAAGCTTTGGCAATTGCCTTAATCAAGGGAGATTTTTGACCCGTAGAATGCCAACAGCAAGCATTTATTTTGGGGGCGTCAATTTCTCTGTCCAGATATTTCCAAATAATCTACTTAAACATGCAATGGGTAAACAATATTCATTCCCTACAGATGTTATCTTTTCAAGAAAATCCCTTCATTCAAGCCTGAATTGTGGCTAAGGAAGTTAAAACAACGAAATTTCGATTTTGACAGCTGAGTGAGATGCTGGTGAAACATCACTATTGGAGAGTACATGAAGAAAGTTTTCCAGTGATACGCAGAATCTATACCGAAAAAGAAATTTTGAGGAAAAAGTTGCTCGGAAAGTAGGCCTAGAAAAAAGACATTATTTTTGCGCCAATTTAACATTATGCGTTAAGATACTTCGAGTGTGCTGCATCTTTTAAACTGCCTTATGATTTCTGTTGTTTGGAGAGAAGAAATAAATTCTTGCGATGGTGGCCAAAGAAATTTTTTCATGGGGGTACGAAGTAATCGAAAGAAGAAACATAAAGTACGCCGAACCTTCCGAAAAAATTTCTGGGCGCTTTCCATGTTCTTGGCGCGTTTACAACACCAAAAATTCATGAAATAAGCGCGAGGCAGGTACGCCCTCAAAAAAAATTTTTTTTTTGAAAAATTGGGTTTCATTTTTCAATTTTCAAAGGTGACTTTGATTGTTTGCATTCAACAGCTGTCTGATTGCATAATTTTATAATCCATGTAAACCACTTTCGAAAGCACGAGGCTCCCTCTCCATTTCTTCAGCCTCTTCAGTGACGCTACTCAATATGTATGATAAACTTTAGTTCAATCAAATATCACGATGCATCATTAAAATTGTGAAGATGCAAATTAGTCCAACCAAATACCACTGCGCATTAATAGATACTGTAGTGTTTTTCACTTTTGACATATGGTGTTCATTAAGACTCTTTAACCTCATAGCCATTGTTTGCTTACGTAAACCGTAGGGGTTTTGAAAAAAAAAGGTTGCATTGAGGTGGAGTTACGGTAATTTCCAAGAATACGACATAGGTTCTCGGCCTCTACAGGTGTTTAGGTCTCCTTAGCTCTGACATTTGTTTTAGAAAACGTGGATATTGCCGGAATTCCAGCTCAGTGCACTAATGTAAGCGCTAAGCTTGAAAGTTTCCGGTAACTTCTCTGCACAATAACTGAGTGTGCAAAGCATAGAAGTCGAGGCGGAAGGTTTATTTTCCTAACTAAAGTCTATAAATGCATATTCCACCACATCCAGAAGAAACAGAGGTAGGCAAAAGTGTTGTTTGCTGCACACTCCATGTTCTTGCGGGAAGCTCCACGCGCACAAGACAGTTTCTAGACATGGATACCTGCGTTCTCATGTGGGAACTGATTGAAAGACCTTAGCGAACCTAAGTCCACGGTTGCAGCTTATAAGATTCTTTCATGGCCGGGAGATACAGTGTTCAACTCCAGCCCAGACCGTAATTTTTACCGCACTCGAGGACGCTGACTGGTCCGCCCGGAAGAAAAAAAATGAAGTTAATGTTGAGTTTCTCGACCACTAGTGAATCATATGCGTTGCCGCTTGGAGTAATGGTTTAGCTCAGAATTCCCAGTTAGTATTCATACTTCTATTCATTTGAATTTGCCTGGACACGCACTCAAAATTCGAAAGTTGACATTTTGATCTCTTAAAAGCACCAAAGAATCAGCTCGCGAATGAATGTAAGCGTATTTGAGCACAAATTTTAGACTTGAGACAAATTTTTTGAAGTTTTTATTTTTACATTTTTTTACCTCAGACATCAATTGCTAAATGAAAACAGTTGTATTATAGCTTCTCAGATCAACAAAATTTCAAATTTTTCTCACATATTCTTGCTTTGCATCTGTAATCCTGATCGAGAACGATTTTTTGATTGGAAATTCATCCTGATTACTATTTGACTTCACACATGCTACATGCGTAAATTCATTGATGCGCGTCGTCCTTTGATACCCTAGGGGAAGTCGCTTTGATTTGGGTAATTTACAACGTCCTTTGGGGATCTCGTAACTACGTCGTATTGCCTAACTAGTAGTAATCAGGCATTATTAGGAGCTAATGTGTTTGATTGTTAGAGCCTAAACTAATCACTAGGGAACTTATTGGGATTTAAGAGTGGTTCGAACTTTTTTATATTTACTAACGATCATTGTCGTAGAAGACACTAACAAGACATTTGTAAGACAGTCTATTAGGTTGAGATAACCTGAGCAAATTTTTCGAAAATTTTCACTACTAGGAAATTCATCAACTTGATGAAGAGTACAATTTGTTCCGATCCCAGTAAAGCTAGAATTGGCATGGCGAGCCGCGTTGCGAGGGTTTCGTCACGTCTGCGACTTTCTTGTCTGCTTTCTCTTCGTTCTATCCGCTCTCTCCTACGCACATGCGCAAACTCTTAGCGCTGCGTGAACGCCATCTTACATCAGCGGCTGAGCCTGATTGGGACAGACTGTAGTTGCATTAGAGAACACACGATAATTTTTTAAAGTGTACAACGTCTCCTGTGTCATTCATTCCCTCTGCTATCCGTCTGTGAGAGCTACATGCCAAAATTTGCCGAAGCAGAATTCACCAAGATTTTTTGTGAGGCAAGAGTGGAGGGAAACCTTTTACTTGCACTCCACTGTTGCGCTCGAATTGCTTTGAAAAGTGAATCACAGTGGATCTATTCAGAACATGACTGAAGTTGGCGGATCATGTAAGCAGAGATTTAGTTGGATGCGATGTGCTGGATTCGAAGCACTAGGGGTCCAAAAGCTTCGTTATTTTTCCCTCATCTAGTGAGCTACAATTAACAACGAACATCTAGGAAAAAAGATTCATTTGAAGCAGATTTGGTTCCTCCTTTCAGTACTGCGAAACCAGCTTTAACTGACCCGAAATGCAATTCGTGTTATTGTCACATAAGTTTAACTCCCCCCAATTATTTCACTTATAGTAACCGGAGTAAAGCTATATCACTAGCTTATCAGAGTAAAGCTTTTTGGAGCATTTTTGATTTCCCCTTTTGGCAAGTAACAAATGAAGTTTTGCGGAGGTTCTTGCTGATATCAGATAAACTTGCGAATTCTGATCAGTTTGGGGAGAGCTAGATTAGATGTAGACGGCGTTTTCAGACAAGCATATGCGATTTTTTAGCCCTCAATTACGACAACGATTTCAAAGACACAACTTTTTGAGCGATCGATCTCAACTATTCAGCTACAAAAAGTCGCCTCGACAGCGGTGCACTTTTGAAGCGAATCTCCTTTTACAGTACATAAAATTTAGAGCTTTTGAGTTTTTCTATTTGTGGAAACTTTTGATCAAATTCTTTCATTTTTTTACAAAGTTAGCTTGGAGTGAGCTACTACAAGGCTCGATTCTTTCGCACTGAAAGAGAGGAGAGGCTAGCAAAGGGATGAAATCCTTGAAAAGAAAGTGCAATTTTTCGTGAGACTCGAAGAATTGCTAGAAAGATGTATCTCTCGTCTTTCTGAGAAATTCATAACCTGTGTGAAGACATACTGAAGATGTGAGCCTAGCTGAGCTTACATAACCTTGCAGAATCTTTCTTGGCAATACAAGTAATACTAAAACAAAGTTAATCCAGGAAAATTTATGCAAAACTATCGATTTTAGTTACCACTTCTTCCGTGTCATTGGCGGCTATCCAACAGTCATCGACTCCTTCTACCCTACCCTAAAAAACGTCACTAGCAGTGACTCCCCAGAGCGGCTACCTCCCCTCTGGGATACTTCCTCGTCAAGGTAGTTTGCCCCTCGTATTTCTCAACCTACCTACTGTTCCTCAATCTCAGGGTCCTCAACTGGTCCTGTGACGCGTTTCCTGGTGATAGCAACACTTGTGTCTCTACAATCACGGCCGACAAATGCCGAAAAAATTCTCAGTATTCCGTGGGATTCTGGCGGACAGCCAACTATTCGTGCATAAAGAATGGACAACTGGTGTCCTGTGCTGAGGTGTAAGTTTATGGTTTCTGTCGTTTAATAAATTCAAACAAAACGGACTTGAATATTTTCTAACTTGAAATCTATCAAATTTTGCGCCTAATTAATGAAGTTATTGGAAAACAAAGTTTTTCTCCTTTTATGCTTGCAGGTATTGACACAGTGCATAGTTTGAAGTCTGCTGATTATGTCCAAATTCCAATGGCTCAAGGAAGGAAGAGTGAGGGATGCAGGGGGGGGGGGGGGAGGTGATACGAACAGTTTTTTGTCCCTCACTCGGTGCTGCTGATTATGGTATAGAGAGCTCGGTTGAACAAACATAGACTTTTTTTGGTACTTTTCCGTTATCCGGCCCCATTTTTTCAGAGAAGGATGATGCCTTTTTCCTTGCACCATATTTATATTATTATTAATATTATTATTATTTATTTATATTATTATTATTTTTTATTTTATTTATATTTGGTCCCAACATCATAGGAAGCAGTGTCAACCTTCTGCCACGTGTCAAAAAAAATTGACATGCCATCTACATGTTTAACAAGTTTTACCAAGAGTTTGTGTTGTCCTACCTAACGACACAAGTTCAAGCTGTTTTTTAGTTAATAATGACGCCATTTTCGAGTGAACACTTTCAAAAAAGGAACATTATTATAATGTTAACGTCATCCTGTTGTAAATGAACAAACTAAACATGCCCAGAATAGAGAAGTGCACTAAGTTCCGTCATCGAAGCTTTGAAAAACTAGCAGCAAGGACTACTATCCATCATTTACATACTTTCCTCGCCAAACTCGCATGGCGGAAAGTTTGAAGAGGCATTTTAAAATCATTGCCTGAAGCAATTAAGACAGTTTAATGATGGTTCTAGATTGTTTTACTTCTATGGAAATCAAATGAACAGCTTCTAGATGATTACAAAGGCTCTTTTACCTCACCGGAAATGATTTCAAGAAAAACATGTCAAAATGGACTAGAACGTGTCAATTTTTTCCTCGCACGTGACGGGGAAGAAGTCCTCATAGAGTCCATGAAAAATTGTTCTAAGACTACAGAATGTATTTTATAAGAGCCTTTTGAAGAAATGGGTCCGGATAACGGAAAAGTACCCTTTTTTTTGTGCGGCTCCACTGAATCCAACAAATGTCAACCAAAACAACTACTGAATAGTCATACAATACCGCTCACATTTTTTGAAAAGTAGACGCGAATGTATGGACATGTATGGACATGCACGGACATGTACGGACATGTACGGACATGTCCATACATGTATGGACATGTCCATACATCAGCGTCGCGTGGCCATATCTCGCTTCAGAGTGGACGAATTCTGAATCCAAAGCCACCATTCGATTCAGCTCGGCGCGGAGAATCTTCTGATATATTGGAAGTGGGGGTACGATGTCTTCGATATTCCGTTTCCAGTTTTTTCAATTTGTTCTGCGGAGGTCCTTTCGCGAATATGTGAAGCAAAGCCTACCCAACATAGAAGACTTTAAAGAGTACTATTCGATTATACTGTTCTTGTAGAATATTGTGCGCTAGAAAATAGGCTCAGACTTCTTTCCAAAGGAGATAGAAGCGTTGGTGAATTTTGGAAAAATTACGCGTTTTCAAATTCTAGTCGCCATAACTTCCTTCGGAATGAGTATATTTTGAATCCGAGAGCAGAGCCTTGCTCAGCTCATCAAGGCGAATCTTCCTATATACAGCATGTCCTTGATATTTCGATTTCAGTATTCTTGAATCTTTCTGAGGACGTCTTTTCGCGAAGGTGTAAAGCAGCGAGCATTGTCCCGAGTAAATTTCAGCAAGGATCTTTCGATAGCACTTTTTCTGTAGATTATGATGTGCTAAATAGTAGCCGCGGGTTTTTTTTTTCAAAGAAAACAGAACGGCTGGTGAATTGTGGAAAAATCTTGTCGTCCCAAATTCTACTCGCCGTAGCCGCAGGATACGAAGCTATCTTGCTAAGCAGATGTGAGTTTCGAAATCAGCAGGTCGGATAACCTCTGTGAGCAAGTTTTCCGATATGTTCGGATTATTCCATTTTTTCTCGTTTTACGCTCCAGAAGCTCGCCGATGGATTTCGGTCAAAATGTTGATGCTCCTGAATTGTAAGGAAACTTCGCTTATAGAGGTTTTCGAACACGCTCTTTACGAAAATCGTGGTCTTTGAGGATTACAGGGTCTTTTTGGAGAGATACGATGAGGTGACTGTAACTTCATCACGGAAGTACGTAACTTTGGCCGCACTTCTCGCGTATCTGTCAGAAACCTTGCCTGCTTGCTTTTCTCAGTCAAAGTTACTAGGAACTGTGCTATCGAATGGTGCATTACTCAGGCTCCAGTCTGTGAAATTCGCCGAGTTACGAGCCTACGAAAACACGTCCTCATGAATTTTGCCCAAAATGTAAAGATCGCATATCTCGTCGAAAATCCTCCGTGAGCGCTTGTATGACGCTCGTTGCAGATATTATGTTCGCTTCGCCGAACGACTCCCACTGCACTGAATATGGTGCTTGCGTCTGCTTCAGCTGCTCAATTGAATATCAAAGCTATTTCGTGGTTAGAGCTCAAAGCACCAAATCTAACACAATAAGATCCATTTAAAATGTGAAAGGATTTGATAAACCCGTTGTATTAGGTCATTCGGAAAGTTTTTTCCTTTTTGCGCCTTTGATGTTGATACCGTATTTTAAGAGGGTGCCAGGGGGCTGATAAGGGTTGCCATATATGGATCTGTGGAGGAAGTCTTCTAATTTCTGGGATCCCACCGAAATTGCAGAAGACGCTTTGTGAGGAAGTTTACGAGGCTCTAAATTCGACATACGAAAACGCGATTTTCGAATAATTGTATTCTCTAAGCTTAAATTTGAGCGTAAGACCGTTGAGGAAACCATCATTGTGCGCAATGCATTTGCCAAGACCACGTCTTTCTTGAGGTAGGTTCAAGCTTACTTCAGAAAGTTCAGATCTAGAGAAGTGGAAGCTAATATTTTGCAGTGTTCTGGAAGGTGTTTCTGCCATATAAAGAGCACCCAGAGGGTCCTTTGGAACAAATCGCAATTATAGCTGCGTAAAATTATCTGCAGGCCCTGAAGTGTCATATAACCCTATTAGGAGCCACCTTCGCTAAAGCTGCAATAGCCTACAAATTGTCGCACTTTCAGATTGAGGGCGAGTTGACTCTGCTTTCTTCGCTCATAATTTCATGTAACCATCCTTTGCCGGCCTGGGTTATTAATTACAGCAAAAAATTGGCCAAGTGCGGCTATAAGAAGCGACAATGTGGTAAATCATCATTACTTATAATAACGGGCTAAGGATGTTTACGTAACTTTGTCTGTGTGTGTGTCTGAGAGTGTGTCTGTTACGAAATTCGTAGAGCGTGTTCCAGCCAACCTCCTGGGCTCAAATTTTGCACAGCGCATGCTACCCGCATGAAAGTCCAATATGCAAAAGCACGAGCAGATTCGTTGAGTGGATCCCTCAAAAACTGCGTGTCAAACGGATCCACTTTGCATTTGGGCCGCAAAATTGGGCCCGTAATTCCACTTTTTTCAGTGTCGTGGATGTTTGTGCCAAGTAAATGTGCAAGCCATGAACTTAGGCTCAAAAAAGTGATCAAAAGTCCATTACTTTACAAAAACGGCGCCAAAAAGTATAGGTTGCTTAAATGGTCGATTTGTCAGGGTTTTACCAGACCATTTGACGAAAATTTTGCAAAAAGTTGTAGCTCACGGTGACTGCTGTTCTTATTGCAACTGTAAAGGCCATGAGAAAATCAAAAACCTATAAAATTTTGCATTTGTTATCCTGCAAAAAGTCTCATCCACGCGAAATTACCGATTTCCCATAAAAAAGCTTTCGGAATGAGTAGTTGTTTACATTTTGTTCGTGATAGTTGGCATTGCTCGGTGAGTTCCAATGCCATCATTATACGAGAATGAATAGGGCCTAGATAGTAGAGCCAAAGCGAGCTTCTGCGAAGCAGAGGTGACGCACTGGTTTGGAATAAGCATTGAAAGCATGACCAGAACAATCTGTCATTCCAAAAGGTTGATGCACTCAAATCAATGTAATCCTGCTGGTCTTGTACGCTATAAACTTGCTAAAATGCGATTGTACTGTAAGAGCAGAGCAGTGTGATGTCGCTCTGAAGACTGTTTGTCAAAATTTCAAAACTGAGCAGACTTGCACGTATAAGCTATGAGAGATGCCATCCACGCCCATGACTCCGCCAAACCACATGTAAGAAAAGTGGCTCTCACATAAGGGGTTGACTGCGCACCGAAGTTCCTGTTTATTTTTCAAACTCTTTAGTCCTTCCTTTACCAGTTACCGAATTTTCCTATTCCTCGGTGCCTATTAAAAAATAATAGGACCTAATAGAGATTGACTAATCAAAAACGCCTTTTCAGGCTTTAGTGATTCCTCTGAGATCATTTCGCAAGAGAAAAGCACAAGAGCACTATAAGAGTGTAACCAGCAATTTGCTGAACACAATGCAGTTTACAGTCTGCCCCAATCCTACCCAGGCCAAAATTGGCTTGGCGGGAGTGCGCGTCGCGAGGGTTTCGCGCCACTTCTGCGTCTAGCTAGTCTGCTCTCTCCTCAATGTCTTCGCTCTCTGCGACAGCGCGCGTATGCAGCGCAAACCCCTAGCGCTGCGAGCGCACAAATTCAGCCGACGGTTCGGCCTGATCCCGATTGGGACAGGCTGTATTTGATGGGAAAAGGATGAATCAGAAAAAAATTGTGCTCGTTTGAATTTGGAGGTGCAAAAACGAAAAAACTTTCCGAATGACCTAATAGAAGCGCTCACGGAGGAATTTCGACGAGATATGCGATCTTTACATTTTGGGCAAAATTCATGAGGACGTGTTTTCGTAGGCTCGTAACTCGGCGAATTTCATAGACTGGAGCCTGAGTAATGCACCATTCGATAGCACAGTTCCTAGTAACTTTGACTGAGAAAAGAAAGCAGGCAAGGTTTCTGACAGATACGCAAGAAGTGCGGCCAAAGTTACGTACTTTCGTGATGAAGTTACAGTCACCTCATCGTATCTCTCCAAAAAGACCCTGTAATCCTCAAAGACCACGATTTTCGTAAAGAGCGTGTTCGAAAACCTCTATAAGCGAAGTTTCCTTACAATTCAGGAGCATCAACATTTTGACCGAAATCCATCGGCGAGCTTCTGGAGCGTAAAACGAGAAAAAATGGAATAACCCGAACATATCGGAAAACTTGCTCACAGAGGTTATCCGACCTGCTGATTTCGAAACTCACATCTGCTTAGCAAGATAGCTTCGTATCCTGCGGCTATGGCGAGTAGAATTTGGGACGACAAGATTTTTCCACAATTCACCAGCCGTTCTGTTTTCTTTGAAAAGAAAGCTGCGGCTACTATTTAGCACATCATAATCTGCAGAAAAAGTGCTATCGAAAGATCCTTGCTGGAATTTACTCGGGACAATGTTCGCTGCTTTACACCTTCGCGAAAAGACGTCCACAGAAAGATTCAAGAATACTGAAATCGAAATATCAAGGACATGCTGTATATAGGAAGATTCGCCTTGATGAGCTGAGCAAGGCCTGCTCTCGGATTCAAAATATACTCATTCCGAAGGAAGTTATGGCGACTAGAATTTGAAAACGCGTGATTTTTCCAAAATTCACCAACGCTTCTATCTCCTTTGGAAAGAAGTCTGAGCCTATTTTCTAGCGCACAATATTCTACAAGAACAGTATAATCGAATAGTACTCTGTAAAGTCTTCTATGTTGGGTAGGCTTTGCTTCACATATTCGCGAAAGGACCTCCGCAGAACAAATTGAAAAAACTGGAAACGGAATATCGAAGACATCGTACCCCCACTTCCAATATATCAGAAGATTCTCCGCGCCGAGCTGAATCGAATGGTGGCTTTGGATTCAGAATTCGTCCACTCTGAAGCGAGATATGGCCACGCGACGCTGATGTATGGACATGTCCATACATGTATGGACATGTACGGACATGTACGGACATGTCCATACATGTATGGACATGTCCGTACATGTCCGTACATGTCCGTGCATGTCCATACATGTCCATACATTCGCGTCTATTTTTCAAAAAATGTGAGCGGTATTGTAATGCAGGGATAAATGTGTAATAAATGAGAATGTTTACCGACCATTATTATTCTTGAGTATTATCATCATTAGAATTTTTTAATAGACCATGTTTGGCTTATGTTACTTCTTGCGCTTCAAAACAATTCATATTCTCTGATTTTTTAGAACTCTTGAAGGAGACGTGTGTCGCGATGTCGTCATTTCAATCCGCAACTCTTCTACCTCTTATTTTGAACTCAACGATCTCAAGGTATGTGCATTCGTTCATGCATTCGCCTTTAGTCTTTAACCCGCCTCGAAATTTTTTTACAGTTACACTCTTTACTCACTCAAACCTACTTTGGTCGTAGCGATATGCGTTCGGAATGTCATCACCCAGGTTACCCACTTATCACAACACAGCCACTGCAACTCCTGCAAGCGGGTGAGTTACAGTTGCCCTGTTGTGTTACTGTATAGGTACCGTAATCTTTTTCCAGGCGCAAATGGATATTGCGAGCCTAGCTCAACGCTATTGCAATTTGGGATCAATAGAACCACGCAATGTATAGTGGATATATCAGCAATGGTAGTCAAATTCACTTACTTGCCAATTCGGACTTTATTTGATAATTTGTGTATTTACAGACAAGTGATGGTGCTTGCCCACCTCTTGTTCAGTTGAGAAATACGTTTGTGTCAAATGTCTCCTATATATGTAACTGTGGTTTGTGCCAAACTCCTGTGCTGAGGTTAGGTTTTTCGTATTTTTATTTCAGCTCTGATTGTAGATAATTCCATAAATTCTTAGATATCATACGCATACCTTTTCGATTCATGTTTTAGAACCTTTCAGTTTATTACATATTGATATTTCTGCCTGTAATGATTCTGAAAGAGTCTGGTATAGAACATCGTTCCCGTAAATGCTGCCTTCCATTGTCCGTGGAGCGCGGAAACTATCGGCTGAAATTAACGGCGCTGTTGACTTTGCATGGAGTCGACAATTTCCTCCTCTTTCCAGTAACAATCGTAAGGATTCAATTACATTGAGGTTGTGTCCAAGTTGCCATCGTTGTGCCAAGCCCGTGCCGGAACGGTCGATCGGTCGATCGATACGGGTGCGTGCAAGTGAGTTCCCACTAGCTTGGCGCTGGCACGGCTCTGGCACCGCGCTGGCATAGCTCCAACATGGCAACTTTGTATACTTATAAGAGTAGAGCAAAGTGAAGAAGTAAGCTTATGTATACAACCATCATTGTAATCCTGCGTTGTAAAAGTGGAAGTTTTGGGGCTCCACGGGTAATGGGAGTCATTGCGATCACGGGAGCAGAAATACAGAAAAAGTGTGGCTTAACTACATTAACTGTAACAATTGAATAATACGTCTAAACAAATTGTCTGCGAAAAGTCCACTTTTCTCCATTTTGTACGATCAAACCTATTTGTAGTCAATTTTGTGTGATCGGACAATTTTCGTAGACATACGTAAGGTTTTTGAAGCATTTGTTACCGTGTATTTCAGAGATCGCGTCCCCAAACAGCAAAACAATTCCACTGCCTGTCTGATTCCTCATATGGTTACGGTAACAATTGTGCACTCTAACGGCTACATCAATGGAGCACATGTCGGGTAAGTTGACTATAATGGCAGTAACTTAGCAGGGACAGAGAAATTGTGCCCATTCTTATATCGAAGACATGTCAGCCAAGCTGCAAATCAAAGTACGAATCAAGTGGAGGGCTGGGAATGAAAAATGAAAAAATTCTGCTAAATTTCGGAAAGCGTGCTAACGCAAAAGTTTTGTCTCCGCTCTCTCCCACTTTTCGAAAAATCTGATATCGATACTGGCCTATATATGATCGAGTCATTTGCAACTTACAAGGAGAGGATACTTAGTCGAAAGCGTTAATCCAGATGAGACATATATCATCTTAAAGCGCTTGAAACGCTGATTCCAAATCTGCAGTTTCTAGCTGCGGAGCGGTTTTGTAGAAGGAGTTATGAAGGGTGTTCCCCTCTTGGGTTTAGGCGCCCTCCAGCGGTTTCCCCTTATCTGTAAGCACTGTAGAGGAGTATCAGCTGATCGCAACTGACCTAATGGTAAGTAACTTGAAACAGTAAAGATTATAATACTCATTACTTTGGTTTTTTTAACACTTCTAACTTCGATTAGTATCATACCATCAGAAGTTTCATGCTTTAGAGCTCTAAAGCCATTTAGAAGTTCAATTTAGCATGCGAAGGGGATTAAAACCTTGACACTCTCTTTATCAAGCACGTCACTTACCACTAGGTCACTTGCCATCAGCTGATACTCCTCTACAGTGCTTACAGATAAGGGGAGACCGCTGGAGGACGCCTAAATCCCAGAGCGGAGCACCCTTCATAACTCCTTCTACAAAACCGCTCCGCAGCTAGAAACTGCAGATTTGGAATCAGCGTTTCAAGCGCTCTAAGTTGGTATGTGTTTCATCTGGATCGGTGCTTTCGACTAAGTATCCTCTCCTTGTTAGTGTGTGAGCTTACACAGTCTGCGCTACAATCCACGACTCTTTTCTCAGTAATAGCCTTTTCTAACAGAAAAGCTGTCAGAAAGTGTATGCTGCTTGACATTCATCCAACAAAGCAAAATGAAAGAAAAGAAGGAGAAACTCTTGAAATCGAAAAAAGCTTATATTGATAGAAGTCGTGAAGTAGAACGTGTTTTGTGCAGTACACTAAAGTCATAAATGACTGGATCCTGAATGCAGAGCCTACAATAAGTGCTTGTTCCGATGGAGGCAAAGAAGAAAAAAGCGGTTTCCTCAAATATCAGTGAAAAAGGTATTAGCCATTTGCGAACGTTTTATGTAGAATTTTTCTTTTCGATGTTTTGGGAGCTCATGATTTCTTCCAGTGTCAAGTAATAAATGTTGAGTTGGTCGATAAATAAAATGGGTTACGTTCATGAGTATCATTTAAGTAGATCACATTCAAAATATAGCAATTCATCCTTTGAAAATAGACGGGGGGGGGGGGGGGGGGTGGGGCAATGGTTCGTCTTGTGCCTAATTTGGACCTCAAGTGGAATGTGGCTTCAATTTGCAGATTTGATTACCGAACAACATCTCCCAGGGAGTCAACGGCTTTGCTTACAACTCGACTACTATTTGTGCAATATCAGCCTCCATGTAAGAAGACAAGGTAATTTGTTCTTGAAGTGTTCCAAACCGTCTCCGAATAAACCCTATTTCTAGATTTGAACTAAAACGAGGACTTTTTCATTGTCCATCGGATGTGACATGTTGGCAGGAATTGTGGTTACCTTTCAGTGATGTCCTCGAATCTACAGTATCACCTATTGGCTCTTTAGTCATTATACTTGCTCTGGCACTACTTATTTTGAGAAATGGACGTAAAAAAGGAGCTGAATGCGACTGCGCAATTGCGCGAAAACTGTACAATGAAAGTGAACATTGAAGTACTGCTGTGAATAAAATGTGAAATATCAATTTCCATTGAAGAATTGCTGCAGCTTACTGCTGCTGCTTTAGGCCCCGGACAGACTTCACGCGATTTGATCGTCGCGACTCAATCGCCGACATTTTCATTCATTTTCATTTCACATTCAAAAATTTCGGGCTGGAAAAGTATCACAACCGAAATGCATTTTGATCGGCATGGAATAATGTTGTAACAGTTTCTCGTCGCGATTCAGTCGCGACGATCAAATCGCGTGAAGTCTGTCCGGGGCCTTACTACAGGGTGGGGCAAAAGTCTGGGAGCCTAGTACCTTTTCAGATAAAATCAGAAGGAAAGTGCTTAGGAACAAAAAATTTGGTGCACACATAAATCGAACCTTTACTAATACAGCCCTGCTTTCAAATTTTGAGATTGCCTCTTCTGGCTTCAAAGCAGCCCTTTGAAATCTTGGCGAGTCCGACTGTCGTGGCACGCAGACAGTGGTGATGAAATTCGTCCCACGCCTTTACGATAATTGTTTATTTCACCAGGCAAATATGCGGTATGATAGAGCAAGCTTTTGGCTACAACGCACTGCGAAGAAACTTCTTTTCGCAGTGTTTAGGAAAAATTTCTAGAATTTTAATTAAAGGCAAGTGTGCTCGTATACTGGAAATCTGGATGCGACTGCGCGAACGGGAGCGAAGAACCGTAATCTGAAAAGTATTGAAGTTGCTTTATCGATCGAACACCAGTACACGCTTGCATAGAAGACTCATGGAAAAAAATATAGCCTAGAATTCAGTGCCTGCTGTGCCCCTATAGCTTTAAAATTTATTCTAAAGAAAAATGGCCGTTGGCACGCAGCTGGTATTCGCAAATTTTTATTTTGCGTTTTTGAAAGAATAGTATCTGACAAACGCAACGGCTAAGAATTGATAGCGCAAAGTCTCCTCTACATTATACGCATCGAAGTGCTTTAGAATATCCACTGTATCGTTAGTTACGAAATAAGTTGTGAAGACCAAAAATTTCGATTTTCTCGTTTTGCAGAGCACTTGTTTGATAAATCCAACTCCTACAAAAACATATAGCAAGCATTTTCAGTCAGCCAAAGTGTGTTTTGTAGAGGATGATCGCAGCAATATGTGGCACAAACATGAAGTCAAAATCATCAGTAGTTTCTTGATTTACAGCACTGCAAAGTAGGCTCCCAGACTTTTGCCCCACCCTGTATAATTGTGCAGTGAAAACACACTAAGGAAAGCAGTGTCCGGACAAACTCGTGGCGCTGAATCCTTTGACCATGGTGGTCACCCTTCGCACTTGCGCGATGAAGGGGGGGGGGAATCTGAGAGGGTACGGGTCATTTCCTGCTATGCTGAATATCTGTATTTTTCTTTTTCGTCTATGTTATAAAGTTTCTTATACCCTGATGCTTAAGTGTAACGGAGGCAGTACATTGCCATATATTCTGAGATTTTCAACGTTTTGTGATTCCTCGGCGATCTCCGCGAGACACCGCTTGTTTTCAAAGTCATCTAACTTTCTAGGAAGGTGATGAGAATGTCGTAGTTGTGCTGAGGATTTATCAAGGACCGTTAAGGATGTTTTCGATAAATCAATTGTATGGGCAGGTTGTGAGATTTCGATGCTCAGTTCGCGAACAGCGGTTTATCGAAGACATCGATATTCTATATTTATTAATTCTAGAAACATGATAGCAGTGCATAGTATATCCTCGGTACAATTTGGCAGCATTTTCATTGACTTTGTAGGAAGATATATGGCTTTGAACATGTGAGCTGATTTCCTGGGATCTCCCAGCGGATCACCTGAAACAGTAGAAAAATGTAGTTTGTATGGCAATGTTATGTCATCCATTATACTCAGATATTATTAGGTTGGCTCGAAAGCTTTCGTACATTTTCAGACTAGATCTGCTCTTTCTCGAAACCTAATGCATGTGAACCCGAAAGAGATACCGTTCGATAGAGCAAAGCAAGCTCTACAAAATGGTATGCAAAAGCTCGCACAGCTTTTGCATACCATTTTGTAGAGCCATCGCAAGTTTGCATCCAGCATCTGAGTCGTACTAAAGGCTCGAAAAATTGGAAAAGATTCATATCTTCACTCAAAAATTCTAGGGATCTCCAAATTGCCCAGGCAAATTGTGCACCACATGTCAGATACTCATATACATATTAGGTTGGTGCAAAAGTTCTTTCCCACCAAATTCAAAAAATTCATAATTTGTTGAATTCTCAACGAATTTGCAAGATTTAAATTTTGTGTAAGAGAAGAACTCATGCTCTTTGCAACCCTACTTGAACTGTTCGTTAGTGTGTACAAATGAAGGAGATAGAAGCTCAAAACCAAAATCACTCAAAATTTGAATCTTTCGTATAGGGTCATAAAAAATGAAAAAAAACTTGCGATAGATATCGGAGCAGTCAGTATTGTAGGCTCTTTCACAAGCTCTTTCCAAAAGTGCACAGTTTGTGCCGATTGAGCGTCTCTGCGAAAAGTTATGAATTCCCTGAAAAATGCTAAAATGAATCAATTTCGCCCTTTTGTATTGCTTGCTCGAAAATCATAACTTTTCATAGAGACGCTCAATTGCGGCAAACTTTGCACCGTTGGAAAGAGCTTGTGAAAGAGCCTACAATACTGACTGCTCCGATTTTTATCGCAAGTTTCCAATTTTTTATGACCCTACATGAAAAATTCAAATTTTGAATGATTTTGGTTTTGAGCTTCTATCTCCTTCATTTGTATACGTTAACGAACAGTTCAAGTAGATTTGCAAAGAGCATGAGTTCCTCTCTTACAAATTTAGATCTTGCAAATTCATTGAGAATTCAACAAGTTATGAATTTTTGAATTTGGTGGGAAAGAACTTTTGCACCAACCTAATATATCATTCCTTTTCCTCATTTAGAAATCAAGAAAACGGAAACTTTCCTGCTTAAGTAAAAACGAAGCTGTGTTGATCCAAGCAATTGAATAGTGAAAGTTCTGAGCAGTGCAACCGTGAATTTTTAGTCTTCCACTAATCGTAGTTTTCGAAAAATATTGTTTCTAGCATGGAACACCTGAGATTTCAATCAGGCAATTTTTAGAAACTAGGGCCTGTAGAAAGCTGAAAATTCACGATTATACTTCTAACAAGGAAACGATACTTGGTGACCGTTGCCTTTTGAAATGAAAAGTACACCGTTATATGCATCTTGCAGCGCTGACTCCAAATCTATTTTCACTATCTGTTGTGCGACTCTCTGAGCGAAGTTATGGACTTTTTTCCATATTGATTTTGCGAGATTTGGGCAGTCAAAATCGTCAGTATCCAGGCTTTTTAGACTCTGATGTATGGTGACAGTTTTTCTGACTTCAGCGTGAAGCTTTACTTTATCTGTGCGCTCTATTGTAGTGCGTGAGCGAGCATTTTAACGATATTGGTGAATCCTGCATCAAAAACAGCGCAAATTTTGGTGACAAGATATGCTCATAACTTATTTCGGAAGAGCGCACAGCAGATAATGAACACAGACTTAAGATCAGCGTTCCAAGGCGCACCTACTGGTATACATCTCATTGCAAAAGGCCGCGGTCACCAAGTAGTCCTTTCTTCGTAAGGCTTGTACTATTACAAATGCTTGAGTGGGAACAGCGTAGCTTCGTATTTGTACGATGAGAACTATATTCATATAAACCCTGGAGCACTGTGAGAAGGGTGCGGGAGACCATTCCACGTTTTCCCGCACCCTTCTCCCCGTGATTCAAACTCTCCCGCACCCTTCTCCCAGCGCTCCAGAGTTTCGCGCACTCATATTCCAATGCTCCAGGTTCTCCCGCACCCTCCGCACCTTTCTTCCAGTGATCCAGTCTCCCGCACCCTTCTTCCAGTGATCCAGTCTCCCGCACCCTTCTTCCAGTGCTCCAGGGTTTCGCGCACCCTTATTCCAGCGCTCCAGAGTCTCCCGACCCTTCTCCCAGTGCTTCACGTTCTCCAGCACCCTTCTTCCAGTGCTTCCGGGTCTCCCGCACTTCTCCCGACCCTTCTCCTAGTGGTCCGGGGTCTTCCGCACTTCTTCCTCTGCTCCATGGTCTCCCGACCCTTCTCCCAGTGCTCCAGGGTTTCGCGCACTCATCTTCCATTGCTCCAGAGTCTTCCGCACCCTTCTACCAGTGACTGAAGCTTGCTTCGGAAGGAGATACTCAGCACTGTTGGCCATGCCGCACATCAAAAGGTCTCTGCTGAAGCGTTCCACATGAGAAACAGGTTAGGTTGAAACGTTGTGTAACTGTGCTTTTGCATAAAATAGGACTTAATTTTGCACACGAAAAGCTAACGCTGGAGCACTCGTTAATGTCAGCCAAGATTTTCTGGGTTTTCACGTATTTTTATACACGAAATCAAAGCCATGGAAAGGCCCAAAAATAATAAGACCATAGTGGTCGGAAATCTGGGTCGGGGTCTTAACATATTATACCTATTGTCAACATGTTAGGTTGACGACAGTATCCAGGCAAATCTGGGCATATAGGTTTTCTGTCTGGAAACTGATCAGGAGGTTCTAGCTAAGGCACTGCCCAAACCGCAGTGCAAATGATCCATTCACAGCTGGGATCAATGATCCATCCCCAAACACTCCGCGGCTGCGCCGTGACCGTGACACTTAGGATGGGTCCCAGCGCGAATGTTAATGTTGAAGGCAGTGTCCGGGCAAAAGCTCGATTTTTAGAAAAACCACTTACCGAGGGGTTATCCGCAACGCTGAATCCAAAAATCCACTTTAGAGGGCTCGAAAACGGCGAGAACACACGTTTTCCAAAGCCGCACAATTTGAAGTTTGACGGTCCCCACAAGGGCAGAGACGCAGAGTCGCTGCGGGACCACATTTCAAGTGTGGCGACATGCGTACTCTGCCGCATAGCAGGAATTCGCACAGCTTGGAGCAGGGCCTGGCACGCGTTGGTTTGGAGGTTTTTAGGAGACGAAGTCCCCCATGACTTCGCGAAAATTTACGAAGTCTCTCTCGACGTGAAAATCAATAGCGAAACCCTTATTTAACCAAAATAGCAACAAAAAAGCGAAAAAAGCGCATTTTGAGGTATGTAATATAACAAAAAAGCAAAAAGAAAACATTTCGAGCCGATTAAAGGCTCTGCCATTGGGTGTAGTACCATTTTGATGCTGGGAATGTCGAAAATCTCCTAGGCCAACCAAATCTGTAGCCTCAACAATCCTGCGATGCATTTTTCGCCACATATTTCAAAGGACACCGCAAGTGATTGGAGCGCAATATCTATCAACGCGCAGAATTATACTACTTTTGAATCAAAAAAAGGGGAGAGGCAACGGTTTGATCCGCTCTCTTCACTATAAAATAGATTTTTGACCGTTCTAATCGTCCAAATCAAAAAGGTCCAAAACTTTTGTGAACTCTCCGATATTTATGCTCCGAACCAACCCAGTTGGTTTGGTAGTTGGTCTAGAAACCAACAAATCCGGAACGGGTATTCAGACACATAAGTTTTGGGAACTTTTTACATAACATAGTTTGGAGTAATATTGTATACTCATAGCCCAAATTCGGAGCCATGTGATTGTTTGTGCGCTGTAAACAAGCCATTTGTTTGTTTGAGTCTTAGATTTGAAATTCGCGCGCTTGCTAAAGAACACGTTTAACTCGTGAAACCTGACATGTTCGTCGTGTTTTTTTTTGGCGCTTCCTCCAGGATCTCATAAAAACGATGTCCCCCTTGCTTCTAACTCCAAAAACGAAGTCCAGTTTGACCCCAAACCATCGGTGCCGGGTCCTGGCTCGGAGGACCCCGCCCAAAGGCGCAAGTTTCCCCACTTTCCGGTCGTTTTTCTTGCTTTAGGTCGAGCGTTACGAAGTCGCACTTGCGCGATGTTGTGTCTGAGGGGGCCACTCTCGCATAGCACTGAAATCCCAAAACCCCCATCCTGCCCAGACACTGCCTTCAAAGAGGGCGAAGTCGTTTTCGGATTACGGTCACGGCGCAGGTGCGAGGTTTTCGCGGGACAGATTCATCGGCCGTGAATAAACGATTTGCGCTGCCCCTTGGGCAGTGCCTTAGTTAGGACCCCCTCATCAATTTCCAGGCAAAAAACCCATGCGCCCAGATTTGCCTGGACACTGCCTTTAGAGTACCGCAGGTCAGAGGCATAGAGCTGAAGTAGCACGATTTCGGACAGTGGATATGCTCAACACGTTTTGGACCGGTGCTGCACATGGTGCAGCATGCTGCTTCAAAAGATCTTTCCGACGTTAACAGGAGGTTTCCTTTTACTCTAAAGTTATTGAGTCGAAGGCCCAACCTTCTACTTTCCAAACGACACTGTAGAGCTGTGCTGCCCATATTTGTTTAGGAGATGTGAGGACAAATTGAACAGCAGTTGCAATGAAGTGCGGCAAAGCGAACGACGTCGCAACTTTTCTTTGCTTCGATTTCAGAGAGAAAAACCGTAGTTTGAATACTGTTGAGTACCGTTTACAACATAGATACTTTTGGATACTATTAGAAGTTGAGTTCTTGTTCCTATTTTTCAAGAAAGCACAGAAGTCCCTCTCAAGCGAGAAAATTCAAACACTTCAGATTCACTTAGAACTTTGGATATGGAACTTATCTGACAAGATGATTACAGATGTAGCACATAGTCTACGAAATAAGGTTCCTATGTTGGCTAATGTCTGAGAGTACACATTCTTGCGCCGCGCGCGATTTCGCGGTCCGAAACGTGTTTAAGGCTGACACGTAAATTGCAAGTGTAGTGCTGATTTTCGATGAATTTTTCCGACCCAATAATGTCTGCAAATCAGAAAATATGCCATGTAGTCGACGCAAGTTTGCTTGATTTTATAGGGTGCGGCAAAAGTCTGAAAGCCTAGTACTTTTTCGTACAAAACGAAAAGGGAAGTACCTAGAAATGGAAAATTTGGCGCACACATAATTCGAACCATTGCAGATACAGCCCAGTTCTTGAATTGCAAAACTGCCTGTTTTGGCTTCCACGCAGCCCTACAAAATCTTGGCAAATCACCTGTCATGGCACGCAGGTAGTCGTAATGAAATTCGCCCCACGCTTTCACAATAACTGCTTCTTTTATCTTGGCAAATGTGCAGCACGATAGAGCAAGCTTTCATCTACAACATGCTTCCAAAAGAATTTTTTGCACTGCTTAGGAATAAAAGTATTGGATTTTCAATTAGAAGCATGTGTACGTCGCATACCGAAATTTTGGCTACAATTGCGCGAAGAAAAAATCAAAATTATCGTTTAGAAAGTATAAAAAGGTTCCCATGGCCGAATTTCAATAGATTCTAATTTAGAAGACGAATGCAATAATACAGCTTGGTCCCAGTGCCTGTTGAGCATTCTATAGCTTTTAAATTTGTTCTGAAGACGGATTTCCACTGGCACGTAGGTAACATTCGCAAACTTTTATTCTCCGTTTATGCAAGAACAGCTCCTGACAAAAGCAAAACTAGGATACAATACCGCAAAACCTCTTCTATCTTGTATGTATCGAAGTTTTGTAAAATATCAACAGCATCTCTAGCTACAGCAAAAATTGTAAATACTAAAAATTCTGGTTTTTTCGCTTTGCAAAAATACTAGTTTGGTAAGTTCCATTCTGACAGAAACATATGGCAGCCATTTAGAGCCAAATAAAGTGTATTCTGTAGAGGATGACCGCAGCATCATGTGGCATAAAATTGAAATCAAAACCATCAGTATCTTTGTAATTGCAGTACTGCAAAGTTAGGCTACCAGACTTTTGCCGCACCCTGTATACTATCAAAAGTCTTATCATTTACAATCAATGCAAACATCCTCTGAATTGGGTAGACAAAAAACGGTATTCTGAAAGAAGATTTTCTTAGAGTTTATGAGACAGTTCGTGAACTTTTCGTCATAAAGAAATTGTGCCAGGCTGGCAAGTATTGTTTATTGTACGACAGCTGCATACCAAAGTATGTAGCCTTTTGTCGATTTTGCTTCTCATAACTATCGAGTATATTAGCCAACAGAGCTAATCAGGTTACCTTGAGCTATTTTCAATTTTTTGCTAAACCTTCCCGCAATTCTTGCGCTTAGTGCACAGTAATACAGTATCAGGATTAAGTACGCCTATTAGAGAATTTTATCAATCAAAGACTCAGTTTCAAAATTTATTTCATTAACCTTGAAAGTAAGCGAAAATGGTAAAACGGTCTAACAATCTTCCTACCATGAAAATTAGTGCCAATTAATTGTGCAGAAGCCAGCAAATAATGTTGAGCCAAACAATATGTATTGTTGAGTATTTGCAGCTTAATTACACTGCTTACGGACTGTTGCAATGCGACCAGTTACCTTGTTTCTTTTGGTTTGATAAAATATGCATTAGTCAGTAGTAAACTGCAGGTTTGTTCCGCTAAATAAGTTTTACTGAGAGATAATGGTGAAAGCTCGTTGGTTGCCGTGCATAGTGTACAGACTCACATAATATAAATGACTCAAGCATAGGTCTAAGATTTTGTCGTCTGAGGGCGTTTTGTTTTGCATTTTTTGCATTTGCATTTGCCTTTTTTGCATTTGCGTGGTCTACAGCACTTCCTCGGGCACTTTTTCGCCTTGACCTGCTCCCAAGAGCAATAGCATTTGCATTTTTTCCCTAAATTAAAAAAAATTAGATAGAATTGTTATCAAGCATAGCTTCTAGATATGTCACAATCTTATTTCTCAATCTTTTACTGCTGCCCTTTATTTCCACGTACATAGGAGGTCAGCGATCGACGTTACTAATGTGATCATACTAGGACAGCACTCGCAGAATAATACTTTTTTCGACCAGATGTCAATATGGAATCTTCCAAAGAAGCATAAGCCCCGCTTCTTGCCTTAATTTTTATGACAGCAAAGAGAAAAAAATGACGAATTTATTCTGCGCTGTGGAACAAGTGAGATGTCAAAAGTATTGGTGGACAATGCGTAAGATGAAGAATGTAAATGTAGAAGAAATTGAGGCCATACCAGCAGGTAATTTTGAGACTTGTTACATTGATAAAAAGAAGACTCACACTGTTTACACATATCTGCTTTTTGGCGAAGCAAGGAAATTACGAGCGGCTTCGCAAAAACTAAACTTAGAGGGTAATGAGCAAGAAAACACTGGTCTGTTCTTCCGATGCTAACCCCAGTAGTGAGTTTATGTCATTCATTTCAGAAATTTGAAAGCGCAAGATTGAGAAAGAGACCAGTGACGGGAGTACAGAGACGTAAAATTCTGAAGTGAAACAAAAACGCACGTTTCTTGGGTGTGGTAGTGAGCTGCTTCGTTGTGGGTGTCGTTGTGGTTGTGGGTGTCGTTGTGGTAGTGGGTGTCGTTGTGGTTGTGGGTGTTGTTGTGGTTGTTGTCGTTGTGGTAGTGGGTGTTGTTGTGGTTGTGGATGTCGTTGTAGTTGTGGTTGTGGATGTCGTTGTAGTTGTGGATGTCGTTGTAGTTGTGGGTGTTGTTGTAGTTGTGGTTACCTCCGTCGTCGTTGTCGATGATGTTGATTTGGTCCCACAGAGATCTAGACAGATTTTTATGATGTTTGGCAGTTCAAAGAGCGGTATATTCAGGTATCGTCCCCTCCACAATTGCTGCTACCCTTGGTCTGCGTCTCACACCTGCCACATGTGGCTAACATGTTGACAATGTGGCAACAAATGTTTGCAATCTGCAGCAACATGCTAACGTGGCCAAAATGTTCTGTCAACATGTTGTGGCATGTTGTAAGCATGTTGTTCCATGTTGCCAACATGTTAGCCACATGTGGCAGGAGTGAGACGCAGACTAAGGGTAGCAGCAACTGTGGAGGGGACGAAATGAGGTTTATGAAAATCTTTGCGAGAGTTAGGAATTTTTTCTGTATTCCTTTCCATATTGGACTTCATTTATTTTTTCTACCAGACGATCTAGAAGTCTACGGCGGACACAAGTTGCAAGCCAAAAGAACTTAAATTTTTGGTAACTCTTATTTGTGTCATGTGAAAGACTTTTGTAAATGGAATCAACTAGAAATATGTTCGAAAACGCGAAAATTTTTGCCAGACAATGCTCCTGGGTTGTGAGGCTAATTCAGATAAGCACCATATCTTTTACTTGCTTTGCAAGCTCATCCATTATCTATCCAACTCGATTACAATTGACTCATTATTTAAATGAGAAGCACTTCATAATGAAGATGAGCTCGGATGAGTTCAACTACGAGAAGGTGGAATATAATGTCAAAGAACTTTTGCGCATTTTAGTGCATATGGTCCCAGAAACGAATTTTTAAAACGCTAGGTCAGAAAGTGGTTGAGTAAAGAGTCAACCATAATGAGATGGACTCAAGAAGTTCTAGTCAACGAAGGACAGAAGACTGCACTATTTTAATGTATTGTCCAGCAGATCTTGATTTGGCTAAATGTATATTGAAGTGCCCACCTTGGCTCAACGGAAAAAAAAACTTGCACAATTCCTTCAGGGTGGAGCAAATGTACCCTGCCTGAAGACAGTTTGGATCAGCGTACGTGAACTCGTTAGACACTGTAAACTTTTGTATGTCAAGTTAGTGTTGTACTTTCCTTAAAAATTAAGAGACATGTGGCACGTTTGCTTAAAATCTACACGATTAGTGTGTCGTTGAGCCTACCGATCTTGTTGGTTTTCCGAAGAATAGTTCTGCTTTGGGTACTAAAGAATACTCCGTGTAATTCGAATTTTACTTAAGAGGATTGTTTAAATGCGTACTGAACAGCGTAGTGATAAACCTTCATTACTGTAAACTTTTATGACGGACTTACCTCCAAAATACTCTTTCAACTCGGGAAATTTTCTGTAAAGTTCTAACACTGCTCTGCAGTTGTCCTTAACGTGGTCTTCAAAGTATTCAAAAATCCTAAATGCATTCCGAAAAATGTCGCAAATTAGACATACCGTTGCTTACTTAGTTTCACACTCTTTGCATTCTCCCTCTTTCCTGTCTTGTTGTCGATAAGCACAATCGAAAAACTGAAAATGTATTGCAACTTTATATCAGCCTCTTTTGATATGATGTGTTTGTGTTAAATAAAACGCCAATAAAGATGTGTACTATCTGTCAGCGAAAGCTTCACAAATTTTTTGGGAGAGAATAGGGGGACCCTGAAATGAACGGTGAAGGGGCATAACGCTAATTACAAAACCGTTTCATAGAAAATAAGGTGTTAAGGTTTCGCGACTTTGATACTCTATGTGGTCATGCGCCAAACGCACTCTTCATAGTGGAAAAGGCTTTTGAATGCGTGCATGCGAGCCTTTACAATGACTTGCGGAAGTCAGTGGATCATCAAGTTGGTGTTTTTATCCTCCCAGATTACCCTGGTACCAATTCACAATCACCTAAAGGAAGAGGGCTTGAGCTCACGGTCGAGTTTGAACTTTGTTCCGATCTGGATATAAAATCGTCTCTAACACCAGGCTACTCTTCCATAATCTAGCTGTTATTCTCTACAATGCTACTTCTTTATTAAGCGTCCATCGCAAATTTTTTATTCATTTGGAAAATAGTTCTGAAAAAGCGGAGAAAGGCTGCAAAGACCTTTCTCGCTTTCTCTGTTTGCACACTCCCAACACTGCTGTTTGCATATTACTGCATATAAAATGCATGCCGATTCTATTACTTATAGGCTTGAATCACGTCACAAACGCAACAGAGTTTTACATAAACCGTTCATGTCCGAGACATTTACCACTATGCCAAGCTTCGCTTTAGGTAAGGTGCTTAGACACGGGGGACCGGTAGTATCTCACCGACATGACAGGTCGAGGAGCATGCATGCGGCAACTTGCCATGGGTCGCCAAAAACAGATCCCACATTTGGGCCATCTAAAGCTTTTTAGAGGGAAACCCCTGGAGGAAGATATCACACCGACTTTGGAGTTACCTACTTTGAAATTCGAGATTACAGAAATCCCCTTATAGAGAAATGTCGAGAAGGGGAGGAGGAGGTGCTGCTGGTAACTTTAAAAGCCACACTGCCGGTAACCTGCCGGCAGCAGGTCGAAATTTGCGAAGTGGCAGCTGCTTGCAAGTCAGGAGAAACAGTTGCTCCTTTGAAAGGGACTTCGACGTGCCCTATCACGTCGAGGCGCTGGCACCTTGCTGGTGGCGTTGATGCAGCATTATCACACAAGTCACGTCTCAGCTACCAATCAGTCAAACTCAAATCTTCTCCGTTGACATGTCAAATCTTTCATCCTCTTGGTCTTTTCTTGTTTAATTCGTCGTCTTGTACCCATAGTATATTTGTTTCAATCGCTTGGTATCATCAAACGCCGTAGTCTTGCGTATTCTTTGAAACATTGTCCTCGCCCATTTTTATGTCTTCTTTGTGCATGTGGATCAGTGTTTTTGCAAAGTCTAAAGCTACCACACACAGCACTGATCATGCAACACGCAGGCACCACTTCATTTTCGCAATGGATTGATTAAAGGCCAGGCATACTTCACGCAATTTCAGTCGCGACGCGACTTGGCAGTATTCCAACTGTTTATAACTCACTGTAAGCACATTTCAAAGGTGCAGAAGATATGGCATTTTATTAATCCACGTAAGTTATACACACTATGCATGTGCAGTTTGCTAGTGTTGGATCTGAAGACTTCTGGCGAATTGCCAAATCGCGTCGCGACTGAAATCGCGTGAAGTATGCCCGGCCCTTTAGATGGATTTGATGGCATGCGACTGAATAGCGCGCTCGCGTTCACTTCGATGCAAGTATTAGGCTGGAAAGATAGTTTTCGGACATTAAATTTCAACAAGGTTTCTATTTCGATTTGAGCACTGATTAAAGCAAGCTGCACGTCATTGGATAGAAGAGTACGATCTTCACATAAATATGTTAAGCGCAAGCACTACTAATGTTTTCTGTGGAATTTTAGGCGAAAATTTGAAGGCATAGGATTTTGACACAACCCTTCAACGAACTATATTCGATGTAACCGAATAATCTCTCATATTTGAACGCTATAAACTCCTTCCAGATAAATAAACAAAAATTTTGAATCAGTTCAAGACAGGTTTCAAACATAGCTTGTTTGGAATGGCTGGGTTAAGTTTTTATTCCTCGTAAGCACTTTTATCATGTAACATACAAAGTCGCACAGAATGATAAAACGATGAGATCAAAACATTTAGCAATTGTATATTAGCACCGGAAGTAACATTCTTTGCGGCTCGTAGCGTGCGTGATCTAGAAATAAAAATCAGTATTTAATTTGGAAGTGCACCCACGAAAGCATGTTTGGACACTAATTTGTAGAGCTTGCGTTGCTCTATCGCAAAGTATTCCGGAAAAAAATTTGTACCAAAATGGGAGCAGACACTGGAACCGTTTAGCGCAACTCGGGCTGTAAGTTCATACACGTAAGAAACAATATTATCGGTGTAACAAAGCTAGAACTGTTTCACCGGGCAATGTTCCAATTTAGATTAAGCCAGAGCAAATGAGTGTAAATACAGGGTGTCCGTAAAGTATGTACCATTTGATTCAACTGGCTTGCCTCTCGGAAGGCGGGACTTCGTGACCTAATTAAGGCTAGCTAATGATCATTGAGCAAGCGCGCGAGGGTAAGGCACACTGCGTCGTGGGCGAGAGCGGCCTTAAAGGCAGCGTCCAGGCAGATCTGGACCTGTGGGGATTTTACGTGGAAAGTACTTTTGGGGCCCTAACTAAGGCGCTGCCCAAGCGGCAGCGCAAGTAGTGCTCTAACGGCTGAGATATTCCCATCGAAACTGGACCCCGTGATCGTATTCGCATGGATTCATGGCAGTGCGCCAGGACCCACGCGTTGCGCCATTCCATGCGAAATACCATCCTGGGGTCCAGTTTCGAGGGGAATATCTTAGCCGTTAGAACACTACCTGAGCTGCCGGTTGGGCAGTGGCTTAGTTAGGGCCCCAAAATTACTGTCCACGTGAGATCCTCATGTGTCCGGACTTGTCTGGACGCTGCCTTTAAGTAGGTCACAAAGCCCCGCCTTTCGAGAGCAAAGTCAGTTGAATCAAATGTTGTACACTGTTTGATCGTTATTATCTTTCTTCCCAAAAAGTCTTTTGCCTTGCTTCAGGTACCTCTTTGTAGAGCTGGCTTCAACTTAGATTTACAGTATGGAGCGTATCACCGATCACTCTTCATAACTGTAGGATTACGGTAGGAACTTGAAACATGTGGTGTCAATGTGGAAATAGCTGCCGTCTCAAAATTTTTCAAAAAAAGTGAAAACTTGTGTGATAGGGTTTATGGACGCTGAGTAATAATCAACTATTCACAAAAATGCGAAGCTTTTTAACCGTTGTAACCACACTTTTAGGGACGTTGAAAAAATGGCCACTACCTCTTATCCGGCATAATTCTTTAATAAAGATCATGAAAAGTTGGAAACTTTACAGTTAGAATCAACAATTCTAACCAACCTAGTGTAAAAGCTTTTAGGCTGTTTTGTTTCCTTTCTGAGGCAAAATATGACCTTTCATGGCTCAAAACCCTCTTTGAAGTTTCTACCGTAATCCTACAGTAACGAAGAGAGATGGTTATTCGTTCTATACTGCAAATCTAAGTTTAAGCCAGCCCTATTAAACGGTACCTGAAGCAAGGCAAAAGACTTGTTGGGAAGAAAGATATTAACGATGAAACAGTTACGGACACCCTGTATAATACTGCTTGCAGCACATCAGATGCAAAAACTAAGGGTGAGTGACTTTATGAACGATACATGTGCCAGCCGCCAGCTGGGTACCGTACGCGGTGCGCTGAATGCTCCGCCCCCTGGTTACTTAGCGATATGCCTTGCACCTATGAAAAGGCTCTTTCTTACGTCATTCATGTTTGTATCATTGCTTATCTCATAGCTACACAGTAATTTACAAAAAATTATAGAATTTTCGAATTTTTTATCATTTTGCAGAATCTTTTTAGCTTCTAATAACTCACCGCTCTTTTTGATGTTTTTGTATAGTATTTTGATCCATTGCAGAGCTTTGTTGAATTTATTTTGAACGTTTAAGGTAATTTCATTTTACGTAATTTGGAGATGTCATAAACACAGAATGTTCTGCTTCAAAAAACTTTGGAGATTTGGCTTGGAACTAAGTCGGATAAAATCCGTTGCTATTGAGAATCCTACCTCAGAATTTCCTGTTTCCGGTTTTTTGAAGCAAAATCAATGCTAAGAAAAATTTATTACACCTTTTTGCAGTCTTAACGGAATTCAAAAAATTTTAATGGAGAATCTTTGTTTGGCATCACTGGAAAGCACAATAACTTTCTATATTATATAGGATCTAACAAATTCGCATGACAGAGGACTGAGATTTATTGATTAGCATCCTACTTTCGAAATGAATAATGATCATTTTCGATGGTAATCTTAAGAAAAAGCATTCTTGAGTAAATACCTGCCTCAAATGAAAATTATAAAATCTAAGAGAATCGTACTACATTTATAAAAGTGTTATCCCTTATAGAAACCGGTGGTAATTCACGCGAAATTGTTTGTGATCTTCTCGAAAGGTGTGAGGTCACTCAGACAATCATGCCTGAGGTAGTCGACATTACCTTTCACACTTCAAAACTGGATATCAGCTCGGGTCAATCATAAAGTCAACTCAGCTAAACTTCAAAACTTTTCAGTTAACAAATAAGTATCCTATTAGTTGATAAAAAAACAGCAAGGGGAACAATCCAATTTGTCAGGGATTTTCTCTTAGAAGAAGCTTTGTACAAGCTTACAGGCTTACTATCAACAACTGTTTTTAGTAGACTAGTGAATAGACATGAACCAGTGCTGAAGCTGTAGTGCAGACAACTCGTCCAGCCAGGAAGGCGGGGCTAACGGTGCGTACCTTACCGACAGATGCCTGCCTAAGCGCGCGTTATCGTTCATAAAGTCCGCCACCCAAAAACTAATACACTCCAAAGAAAAAAATCCTGCAGCGAGATTAAAACCATTTCTTCGTTATACTATGGAC